AATCTGGAACATTATAGTGCACTGCCAAGAAAAATAAAGGGAAAAAAAAGATCATAGAATTGAGTCATTAGCAATGTTCACTCAAAGCACAAGCTTAACTCCAACAGCAAACACACTGGCTACAACAAGACTGCTCTTCAGAAAAGCCTAAAAATAAGATAGCTGTGAAAAGGCCGAAGGTGGACTGATACAAATGTTGTGCAAATGTATTTAAGGCAGAATAATAAACTAATACTAATAAGTAAAAACGTTGAACTGTAAGACGATTCATGATTTTTATGTGGTTCTATTATAACTGGGAGCGGGCGCACAGTAAGTAGACATCAGCTGCTCATCTGATCCCCTGTAGAGACCACCAGGTTATACTAAGTTGAAACCCTTTGTTTGGCTATGGGTGATCATCCTGACGGGTTGCATATGGAAGAGTAACTGAGAAACCGTTAGAGCAGAGGTGTAAAGCCCTGACATCCAGACTCTAACTGAATGGAATGAAGGTTCAATGTTTGAAGGTGGTTTGACCTATTTCTGAACTTCCTTCCTTTGAAGGAACAGCACTCACTGCATGCATTTTCACATTCTGCTGTCTACCATATAGGTTGCCTCTACGTACTTTTGATTATTTTCTTCTTCACATTTGATGCTGTGTCTTTATGGTAAGCTATATCAGAACCCTACAGCCAAATCTTGGCACCTTTCTCCTGCCTCAGGAGCTCAAAGGGAAATTTGTAGAGTATTTTCGATCTGAGATGCTTCTGCATTGCCAAAACATACAAGTTAACTCTGTGTGTCTTATCTGTCAATAGAAAAATGTAGAGGAATAATTAAACAACTATTTTTCAATCTCTTTTGCATCTGTAGATTAAGTACATGTATAATCTGTATATTGTATATCTGTATGTTATTTACATACAGTATATAGATTAGGCAAATAATTTCTCCACCAGTCTTAACAATTCATGGAAGCCTCTGGACTCCCTATGGTTCTCCAAAATTTCTCCTGCTCTGCATCTCCTCTGTGGGCATGTTAAAAACCCTTTGGTCCTAACACCCCTGAACCCAGAGACCAGCTCAGGCAGCAGAGTGTTGACTGGGTTGAGTGATCACCGGGGTAACATCACGTACAGCGATTTCCTGTGCAATGTATTGGGCTTCAATCCCCTGATGTGCACAGCTCCCAACCCTGTTTCTTTAGCCTGCAATTTGTATCACGTAAGGCCTGAGTACACCCCAGCACCACCTCCACCACTCCAACAGTGCATCACTGTGACTTCTAAACTGGACTTCTAAACACTTCTTAGAACAGTGTTTTTTGAAACTTTAGAATCTTTCTTGTTCCGCTGCAAACAATGCATGTAAATGCTACACTGGTGGAAACAGTGGGATAGAAAGAATGAAGCGTGTTCTTTATATCATACTGGTAAATAAGACGTGCTGGTGCCATGCCTGAAAAAACAGCAAAATCTGTCATTAACGGCAACATGCGGAAATAGGAAATGATGTCAAAATTTCAGAAGTCGATTAGTAATTCAATAGAAAAATCAAAAGATTAATGTACAGTACAAAGACATCTGATCAGAAGCGAATGGAGCTGCAGAGAAACAGGGCTGGCTGTGCTCAATGTTGCAAGCCCCATGGAGAGCTAACGGGTCTTCCATGATGTCATTCATAAAATGACAAAGGTTGGCAGGTTGAAGATGGGTATCAAAGTTGATGTCATTGACAAAATGAGATTTTGAGCAGATGCAATATATATATATAACATTACTTAATTAACCCTTTGCAATTTCTTGCATTAGGAATTATCTTTTCACATACCCCAGCTTGCTCTCCATGAGACACACAGACAGGGAGAGAGCCTGGGGTCAGAGTACAGGGTCTGCCATTGTCCAGCACCCCTGGAGCAGTTGGGGTTAAGGGTCTTGCTCAGGAGCCCAATGGAGTAGGACTCCTCCACCAGCTGTGGGATTTGAACCAGCAACCTTTCAGCTACAGGCACAGATCCTTAGCCACAGAGCCATGATTAAACCAGCCATTGCAGGGGAGGATTTAGGGTGCAAGAACAACAAAGACTTGTAAGAGGTCTGATCCTTTTGTGATCCTGGTAATGTACGTGTATGTACTGTTGGTAACTATTCTGCAGTTTGTGCAATAAATATTTAGTTGTATTCACATGCTCTGTCCCTAGATTTAGTAGACATCAGTGTATTGCAATGTGGGCGTGTGCACATATACACATACTGTAAGTATACTGTATATGGGAGAACAGATTTCCATGGAGCATCAAATCCCATGTCTTAATTAATTACAACATTAATTACCGTTTTCTCGTTTTTCAAAGCCAGTAGTGAGAAATTATGCTTCTGGATGCATAACGATTGTTACTTCAAACCTTAATCGTGGTGTACCACCCTTGTGAACTGCCAGTTGTGTTTTTCAGGATTTCAACTATTAACTAGCTTCTAGCCATTGACCTGTTCATCTTATTACAGCTGGGCTAATTTAAGTTGTTTGTTCACGATTGCTGTGTTTGTCTGAGGTGGGGGTAACCTTGTGTGATTGCTGGAAATCTCCTAGATTCTATTATTAACAGCAATAACAGAAGTATTGCTTTATGGCTGGACTGTACAATGTTCATAACATTTATCTGTGTCGTAACCTTTTACACCTCTTCCCTGCGCTTAACAAACCTGTTCTTGAGTGAGATTAAAATTCGATTGATTTCCCATCGTGCAAGTGGGCCCTGCTTCAGAAGGCAACATGTGAGAAAACAACTCACATGTCAGATGAAATAAGGACTGGAAGAAAACTCTCTCCATGCAAACTTTGAGTAAAAGAAGCAATGAACACAGACAGATATGAATATGGTCCTCATCCAATTACAATATTACCAATAACAGAACTTATCCTTTGGTCTTAGTGGACACTTAAAATCAATATTAGCAGCCTCTGGTAGCTATTTTGGGATAATAAGGGGTTCTTATGTACTGTATATAGCGAACATATAAAATTACAAGTAATAGGTTTATTCCATGCTGAAAAAAAGAAGAAAGAAAAGGCTCCATGGCCGAAACGTTGTGTTTTCTTTCTTCTTTTTTTCAGCATGGAATAAACCTATTACTTTTTCCTTTGCAGCCTACGCATGCTGACGCAGCTACCCATCTGAACTACTATAACATATAAAATAATGTATAACATAGCTACTGTAATTTTACCTGTGACATAGACATTCTGTATACTGTAAATGAAAAATAACTGTGGGACACCGTTTAAGTCATAAACATTAGACATACATGTTAAGTTACTAAGGTAACATGTCAGCATACTAAGCTAACCAATCAGGACAGTCAAGTACAGTATGTGAGCAGTGATGCAGTGTGGCTCTACCAGATGCTTATGGATTGCCATTTGTATCATTAACGTCTCAGAATAAATGTGTCAAAATGTGATATATGTGTAAAGTAATTAGGTTTAATTGTCAACTTAACTAGTCAGAACCCAGATGCAGATACAGTACATGTACGTTTGTCATGACAGGGCTGTACATAAGCGCTGAGTCACTCTGCCTCAGCAATAAGTTTAATTGTCCAGTAATGAATTTCTGTATTGGAATTATAAGCTCTGGAAAGATATTTCCACCAGTAAAGATATTTGGATCATTTATGTCATTTTCTTTCTTGACCATGTACAGTAACCTTAATTTTCAATGTCTAATGTCAAAAATGTTCTGTGACCTTCATGACTCCAAAGGCGTTCCGCCATAAAGTTAGTTGTCCAGCTGAAAAAAAAAAACCCGATAATAATCATGAAACAGAATGCCGTGAAGAAATGAAATTTGTGTACGTACATAAAAACGGCATTGATAAACACACTCCCACAGACAGCGGAAGGACGGATCGTCCCTACAGTCCATATCAAAAAGCTGGTGAGGATGGCGGCAGAGCACACACGGTAGGTCACGAATATCACGAACAAACAAAAAAATACCAAGCTGTCCACTAGAGGCCGTTTAGTCCCTTCCTCGGGTCTGAAAATCATCAGCAGCTGCAAAGCCAGCGTCGCGGTGTGATCTGTCCTCAATGAACCATGAGCCACGGCACGTGCTGGGGGGTTTTCATTACTGCTGATGACGTGGGTCACCTACCGAACATGTTCTCTAATATGCGTCTATTTATGCCTATGATAAAATATCAGTACAAACAGTATTCAATCATAGAGTCCGTTTAACAGGCGTTAAAATGTGGGCACATATTTCTCAACGTCATTTATATATTTTTAGACCTCCATGTTTAATCCATGTACAGTATGTTTGTGTAAAATGCTGAGTTTTCTCGTTTCATTATTTAACTCAACGTCTTGATTATCTGATTATAACCTCTGACACCGGTAAAACTGATCTGGCTTAAACTCAATACTCTGTTATATTCAATACGAATATTCACAGTATTGAACAATTATATATGTCACACATTTCAAGGCGAATTTAGACTTGATTTGAAGTCTTCATAAACTGTTTAATCTACATAGTTTGCATATATTTACAAAATCATAAACAATACATTTTAATATCTTATTTTTTAGCACAAAAAGAGATTTGAATGCAAACCCTAAATAAAACTAGAAAATAGATCTCTTTGATGAAAAAGTTTAAGGGTGTACATCTAACATTCGACGTAGAGTAATGGAAAAGAAAACTATTAATAATATGGTAAGACATGTTACCCAACGTTAGTAAGGTTGAAAGTGTTCAATAAACATAGAAGAGACACAGTTAGAATTAAAGTTCAGTTTATTATTCACTATTTAATGTCCTTGACAAACAATTGAATAACCTTTAATTTTCTGATATATTTTGTTAGCCTCTATATATTTATTTACATTTAGGTCCGGTTTAAAAGAGGAGACTAAACCAGGACCGATTTGTTTTGTCGACTAAGAATAAGTCCTGTATTCTGTATTATTTTACATTATTTTACGCGTGTATGAATTGTCTGTGTAGTGCGTTAACTTCATGAAACACGATGGTTGGAGGTAGCAGCCGGTATTTGTTAGGGTCGAAATTTATCTTTTAGGTTCGAAAGTTTTCCGTTGTGGAAATTAACTTTGGCTACGTAGAGTATCTCGCTAATATCACCGCCGACCCTCAGCTGGGGACTGATTTTCCTCACCCTTGTTAAACCTTTCATTTTTACATCGACTGTAAGTGAACAGTATTAAAACGCAGTTGACAAAGACTGGGAGAACGAAATACGAGTGTGCCGTGTTATTACAGTACGCCTTGGGCTGTCAGGTTGTGAACAGCTTGTCTCTTACAGACCAAGCACTACTAGTACTTAGGCAGTCACTAAATTTCTACCTCCACGGGACATACTGTATAATAATTATCCGTGTCTGCGTGTCTAAAGGAGCTGCGCTATTTACTTTAGCAAAATCCATTCCCAAGATATTTAGGATTGTTTGGCAAAGCTCTCCTTGTGCGACCACTGAGGTAGACTGAGCTCCGCTGTCAAGATCAGCTTTAAACGCCTGCTTAATGGGAGAGAAGAGATTCTAGACTCCAAAGGAACTTCGTTCTTATCTGCCAAGATACATATTATTTTTGCTCAAAAATAAGCCCAGCATATTCGCGATACTCTAAGTGTTCTGTAGCCGATGATGTTGAGGTGCCGCTAACAGGTAGGAGATAGTCTGGTCTATTGGAATAAAGCAAATCGATGCATTTTATTCTGGAAGCAAAGCACTGTGCCTTTTTCGTTGTTGATTTTCAGGCTAAATGCAGCGTTGCTCAAGAAGGCTTTTCTTTTTATGGATTTGACGACTGTTTGATTGGTTGGTGATGCCCATTTACATCATCGACCGAAAATTTCCAGAGACACCTGGTAAGTCTGCCCGGTAAAGCGGTACTACAGAAACCACCGCGAGAAGCTATAGATTGTGTATGCGCTGTGTTTAGTTTGTCTGGTTATGCTGCTTTCTTCATTCAATTACTTTGTAAGTCCACAGATATTTAATCAGTGTTAAATTAATCTGCCCGTTGTGAGATCATTTCATTTGCTAATTCATGCACTTAAAAATATTCACATTGATTTTTGTGCTTAAATTACAGTTCACGCGAAAGGTACATGTGCGCTCAAATGCTACTGTAGATACAGCATGGCTGTTCAGTCTTCTAAGGTGTTTGAATTAGACACTAAACCTAATTAATATTTAACGTGTGAATTTAAAAATATAAGTGGTTTTAGAAATGATAAAATCAAAAACACAGAATTGATCAAATCAAAGACGTCTGAGCATGTGAAAAACGAATTTCATTATTTTTTTATAGAATTGTACATAATACAAGGTATAATAGTGATGTAGAATGTGACTACAAGAAATATCTACAAAATCAAAATCGAACGTGGTTGTACAGTTTTAAACTTTGAAAGTATCATAAAATAAAATACTATCAAAATAGTCAGTGCGGTTTAAAACGTCTTCAGCGTAAATGTAAAATGCTTTTAGCCTGTCAGTCTTCCAGAAGTTCACATTTAAATCATAACGTCTCAAACATACTTTTGAAGGCTGCAGTTGAAATTAGGTTGTTATTTGTTAAGGATGAACTATAAGTGTTACAAGGTTTCAAGTCTGATTTTTTGTAATGTCATTTAAATAAGAGTGCCCGAGGTGTATGTAATTCATAGGAGAATTGTCTCGTCTGTAATTCAAGCGAGACATAAAGTAACCCCCTAATTTAATAGTAATATAAGGTTTTCATATATTTTTTTTAAATGCAGGGAAGTGTCAGCCTAGCTTATTTTGTGATTTGACGATGAACGTAGTAATTGTGTTCAGTGAGGACATGACGTCCATGCATGTGGCAACAGCGTGGCGTGAGCTGGTTTTCAGCATTGATGTTGAGGGATTAAGTCTAAGAACATAATGCATTCAACTGGAATGCAAACCCGGCAGCTAGTGGATCATTTGAATAAGTAGACACTTTTCAAAATTGTTAACAAAAATGTGAAGATGGATATTTTACGCTATCAAGTCCGCACCAGAACGACTCGATTTTGCACCATGCTTAGCAATATGAAAGTGTTCTTACAGTATGTTTTCTAGACTTGAGCAATTGTACTTTCGTGACAGCTGCTGCCATACAATACTACAATACTATTAAGAATTGTATTTGTACTAATGGAACTAACGAGCATTTCAGACACTAAGCAAACATCAGCAACTACAAAAGAACAAGAGAAAAAAATCATTAGAATCCCTTAAAAGAATACGGAAATGCATTATTTTGTTTTAACTAGTTTTAAGATCCAGCTTATTAAGGCTCAAGCCTGATTGCTGACAGTGTGTGACCTGACCTGTATATACAGTACATAGCACGTGTTAGTTTTAAATTATGCTAGCAATACACCGCAAATGCACTTAAGCACCATGTCATTGCAATTGAATCAATACAACATTTTACCCAGTTTAACCACAATATGTTGTTCGTGCATAATACTAATACCAATACTAAGTTATTAGAATGTACTAGTTGAACAGATGTTACCATACAACATAAAAAGAGCTTCTAATAAACATTCCACTATAGGGATTCACTATATTGGAAAGTTTGTCCTGTAAGTAGAGAATAATTTATCTGAAAGCAGTCAAGGCAGGATTGTGATTAATGGTCATGATAAAATCCACTTACAGCAGGCCCATATAAAACTTGAATTTTGTGCATTCTACATTTTACTATATCCAACAATCCAGCAAGGAAACAGATTGTTTTTATTTATGCTGTTTTCATAGTAATATCCCAGGGTTGATACACAGTGATTGACACATATATTTGGTAAGATGTGATTGCATGTCTCCTGCAAAAGCTTTCATTATTGCTCATAAAACTCAGGTAACATATAATGTAATTAGAGTTACAGCCTGTAGAATCTTTACAGTCCTTCCTCACTGTGTGTGACCATGGACTGTGGTATTTCCATTTACTTAATGACTTTCTATTACAAGCTAAAAGTTTACAGGTTGAGACTGAAGTATTACAGCTGCTCCCATTAACAGAAGGCTGACATAGAAGACCAAAAAGCCTGGAAATATTTATGATATTTGAAAATAACCTGTGAAATAAGGTTTTAACGTGTTACAATAACACTAATTTTACTATTATGATCATTGTATGTTTTAGAAAAGAAACACTGCACTAGTTGATGTAGTGCATAGAAAATTACAAAGTGCTTTGTAGTTTTGGCTGCGGCAAATAACTGAGGAGTTATTTCACAGGTCTGAGTCACTCATGTTTTTCTTCGGAGGATTTTCTAGACTTTGTCCTATGGTCTGTCCTTTTCTCCTTCACAACACTTCACTGCCTTTCTCTCTGCAACGTCAGAACATTTCACTGTGAGGAAAGATCAAGGATCACTTGGCTTTGGAAATACACTTAATTCACAAGTTAAGAACCTTGCTTTGGGTGAAAGTTATTCTAACGTGCTGGTTAAGAAGGTAATTAGGCAACTTTAATCCTATCTCAAAACTGTTGATCCAGTTTTTTTCTTTTAAATTGCTATAGAAAGTGTCTCATGAAGGGTTGGTTCACACTGACGTTCTTTTGTCTTCTGTGGATCTGGTGGGGTTAGGTGCATTGTTTCAGGCCACATCAGAAAGGCAGATGGATACAGCAGACAATAACGCTTCAAAATCGAAAAAGAAGTTAAGATGGACTTCACTGGAGATCGGACTCACGACTGTGGTGTCTCTTCTCCTGATTGTGGTGATTGCTCTGATCATTTTAGTTTCAACACAAGGCGGTGGTAAGTAAATCTAATTCACCTTTTACATAGGTACCCATCCCAGGATCACCAAGTGCACAGAGATTTTAATTTTGTTGTCGTCTGCTCAAACCCAAGTCTTCAAAGCTAAGTCATTAAAATTGGTAGACCTGGCTCTTTCCAGCTTGTCTTTTTAGAACCTGTCAGACTGAGGGAAAAAAAAACCTCAAAGAGACTAGCATGCATGTATGTAATTCTTTTGTCTAAAAATATTGATCTTATGTGTATGAGCATCAGTAATACACTAAGTCTGTACATGAAAATAAAATTGAATGCTTTGTTAAGGAATCTCAGGAAGATTAATTTTGTGACCGATGTACATGTGCTGTTGAGTTGAATGGAGATGTTCAGCAGGTATGTGATGCTCATCTGACTGTTGATGCCAGTCCCTCAGCCTGGACATCTGGAACAGATGGTAAACAGAGCCCTAGCTCTGCCACAGTTATGAAGACTGCATTTGTAATTATAAAACACAATAAATGTTTAAACATCTTTTTGAGGCAGAATGCAAATGCACACCATTCTCTACATGAATTTCTGTGCTCAAAAGCAAAAAGAAAAGGAGTTACTGAAACGAGCCGAGGAAAACAGAACTTAACTGGAATTTAGATTTTTTTTTTTGTAAAGCGACAGTCAGTTCCTTTGATATCATATTTCTTTTCATGGTGTGTGTCATGATTTTAATAATGAATGTGTTTCTGTATACATTTTAAAATGAGGGTGCACAATGCATAACATTACAGCATAATTTGCGTGTAATCATAAATCAGATGCTAATATTGCATGCTGTCCTGCAATTTCTGTAGATGTCACTTCAACATCTTGGATGCTCTTTAACATGTGTGTCTGTTCATTGCAGATGGGATTTGCAAGTCTGCAGACTGTACAAAGTCAGGTAGGCCTTGTCGAGTGCATTCAATTGCTTTTGCATTTGTTATCCTGTTGTGCTAGTTCTGAAAATTATCTGTCTTTGCTGTTTGCTGTGTTGCAGCTGCCCGGCTAATTGAGAACATGGACACCAGTGCTAATCCTTGCCAAAATTTTTACCAGTATGCCTGTGGAGGCTGGTTAAAGAAGAACATTATTCCTGAAACCAGCTCCCGTTACAGCACATTTGATATCCTGAGAGATGAATTAGAAGTTGTCCTTAAAGGTAGGTAACATATTGACCTAGCTTCTCTTTATGTCCCCTTTTCAAAATTAATTAAGCATTGTGTGCAGAGTGTGATTTAGCTGTAACACAGAGTTAATGGCAAAAAAGTCTGGACTTCACCACTGGAGCAAACGCAATCACAAAAATAGAACCACGTTGACACTAACAGTAAATGAAGCTAGTATTACATCAATAACTAGAAAGGGTCAACTGTCATGACCCCTGCCTGAATCTAGTCCATGCACCCAGAGGCATGCTGGAAGTTGGCTGCCTAAGTGTTCCAAATGACTGGCTCGTTAGAAACGGATTCCTCATTAGAGACGAGGCATATGGATTACAAGATGCAAGGGTCTGATTGCAGCACTCAGGACATGTCAAATGAAGCATGGTTCTACTGCTTCAGTTTTAATAGGACAGCAGTTTAAACCTGAAACATTTTTGAGTTTTCTGCAAGTAGGGTTCAATCTTGTGCTAATATTGCTTGGTGCACCAAGACAGCCAAATGTGGAACTCAGCTGTGGTGTGCAACAGTGTGCAATTTCCTTAAACAGAACGGAAAACTCTGGCTTATGAACAGAAAGGGTTTTAATTGCAGGGCTGGACACCTTAAAAGAAAAAGGCTGTCATGCATTGCCACCTTATTATCCCTTATCAGAGCTGAGTCAGCTTTCTTTCACACTAAGCATTTAACACTTTGTGTAGTTTTAGGCTGAATTCCTCTAGGCTGGACTAGACTGGACTGGACTTTAAGCTAGACTGGACTTTAAGAGTTATTTGTTGATCAAGCTGGACAAAATCCATTGAAATTGAAATGTCTCACTATAGGGTGGTATGAGGTTTGTATTTGTAAGAGCTGAAACTGATAAAAAGCCAAACATGTTGCAATAAAAATAAAAAGTTTAAAAATATCATCAAATCTTAATCATTATATCAGTGCAGGATGTAATAGTTGAAATGAAATACACATACTGTACTTTTTATATTGACCAATATTTGTTGTAGGTTGTTAAAGGTTATTTTATATAAAGGTTACTTTATAAGTCATTTGTAAAGGTTAAATACAGTACACTTCAAAGAATGAACTCCCCGATATGTGCACTGCTCTGATTGAACAGTGAGGGGTAAAGAATAATTCATTCAGAAAGACAGCCAACCACAATTTCTTCCTCCGTGTAATGTGAAACAGACGCCTGTAATTTACGAATTTGGTGGGACTGCCAGTTCATTGTGAATAATATATTTATATACTTTTACAACAAAAATACAACTGTCAGGTCGAATTTGTGACCCGGAAGGCTGAGCCTTCCAGGAGGCTCGGCATGGGAACTCCAGTTGCCCTGGTTGTTTATTAACTCTGCAACCCTACCTGTGCCAGAACTCCCAAAAAGCACATTGGCAATATCAGCTCATCATTCTTCGATATACTGAACCAGGATTTGACAGCTGCTCGACAATTTGGAAGTAAATCACTTGTTTAGCAGCAATTAGGGAAGCATTCTGTACTGTGTCAGAATTAATTCCTCTGCAGAGTGGTTATGAAAAAAATACTATGCCTTTTTAGCTCTGATTTGTTTGTGTAACTGGCAGCCGAACGTCCCATGTGATGGAGCTGATGTGGTGCTGTGTAGGTTTAATTTTTAATGGGGCATCATTAATTGATGATTCTTGGAAAGGTCTTTCTTGAGGAGAATCGGACCCATGCTGTGTCTCTTCCTAGGAGTGATCAACTCTCAGCATCACTCATGCCTTGCCTGTTTGGGTAACCAGCTGCATCCCCACATGCCTGCTTTCTGGCTTCAGCATTGCCTGGGGCTGAGTGAATTTCAAGACCCGAAGTGATTACAGGGTCTACTGTCAATGTAGTGCTGTAGACAAGACACCAAACTGGTGAACAGCTCAGCCCTGAGTTTCGTATTCTCCATTGTTTTCATTATCTCCTATAAACACGCCATGTTTTTGATTCAACCAGTATCCAGTCATGTTTTTTTTTTAAATCTGCACTACTGCACTTTGCACTCAGGTGTACAAAATGTAACAAATATTTTTTATTTTTTAAAACATACGCAGGTTGGATCATGACACAGAGTAGTTCCCCTAGTCTAGAGCTTGGGAATATGGCTTTAAGAAAGTTCCAGCGTCGGTTTCAGAACAAAATACATGACATTTTGTGGAGGAGCTTATGCATTTCTTATTTTTTTAGCATTTTGAATTTTTCGTGTCTGAGCTTGAACTCGAAAGAGAACTCATGAGAAAGATGCTAACGAAAGATCACCTTCAACCATCAGCATGTTCTGTGTAACCAAACAAGCTGACTGCCGACTCTGGAGGCTTTCGGGGCGTAGAGTTTCTCAAGAAATGTCATTAGTCCAATTTTCTGTGCACATCTGTCTAATTCTCTGTGCAGGCCATATAACATTAATTGATTCAGGAGAGATCAACGTGTGAGGACTGATCAGCCCCTTAAATGTAATTTCTGTTAAACACACATTAGCTACAGAGCCCTTTACAGCTAAACACTGTAGAATATAAACATGGAATTGTTTTCACCTCAAGCCTTTGGGCTTTCTCTGGAAGAGCCAACTGTTAATGTTGGCTATTGAATATAAAACATCTTCAATGTGTGTTGTTCAGAATGCACAGTTTAAGCATTAGCATGATTCTGCAGGAATTTATCTAAAATAGATTGCTCTGAGCACTGTAGGAAAAGTGGGATGATAATGCAAAAAACAGCAATCAATTTGTTTAGCTTTATGTCCCAGCAGGAGATCAGCAACGCAGGTCAGTGGTAAAAGGTGTGGTACCAGGTTCAAGTGCTCTTACTGCTCTCATTGAAATGGTGAAAATAGAGCTGTTTCAGATGTAAACTATGAGGTTGCCAACATAGTGATTTTAATGTCTAGCCAATCATTCTGTTTCATGATAGATGCTGGATAGAATGAAGAATACTCCTTGGCTGGTCTTGCCCACTCCCTCTCAAGCCATCAGAAAGCCTCATTTGAGATTGCTTTAGTTCCATTTCATGCAATCTACCTCAAAAGGGAATTTCAATTACCGGTTTTGTTGCAGCACAGCAATGTGATGAAATGCAGGCTATAGTTTGAATCCCAATAAATATTATATTAGTGGAAATTATTTTACATCTCAGGATAGATTGGTATATATTGTTTTGTGTGTGTGTCAAAAATAGGTTAAAGTAAGCTGAACTATTTGGTCGACGATGTGCACCAAACAGGGTATTTGGAGCTATGGCATAGCCAGGAATTTATATCTGGGTTAGCAGAGTGGTGTCAGGGTCACCTATGGAGGTGGCATTTTTAAAATAAATTATTTGCCTTCTAAAATAGAAGATGCAAATTGTTGTTAAATGTCAGACAATATGGAAATTTAGGGAACTCCTAAAATGGGGTGGCAGCTGGAATGGGAAAGCCATTTTTAGGGTTGGCAACTGCTACCCTGTGCTCTCCTGTGGCTACACCTCTTGTCTGGAGAGCAGGTTTTAGTTAAGATTAATGCATTAGAGGTCAGGCATTGGAATAAACACATTAGAAGGTTAGGTTTTAGTGGAGGGCAGACAGCTGTGATAAAATGTGGTCTTTTTCCCTCTACATATAAGAAAGCACACAATTAAACATGCTAAAGAACAGAATCTAGTGCAGTGCTGGAAAAAACTCTAATCCTACCACGCAGTATAATGCCAGAGAAGTTCATGCAGGTCTGACAGTTTGACGTCTGTAATCCAATCAAGCAAATTTGATCGGTGCCCTTTCACAGAATGTTCCCCAAAAACATTTCCATTACAACACAATAAAAAATACATTGGAGCATAACTAGTGGACCCAAAATATTTGCAGTCAGGTCCCACTGTACACAGGTCACAGATAGTGAAACACTTTTTGGAACCATTGCTACTGCTATGAGAATAGTTTTCATTTGCTGATTTCTGATGAGATAATAGTTTTGGGATTACAGGAACAGAGCTGAGTGTGCAGTTTTTACAGATGCATCCTTCCCTACATACCACTTCCAGATACTCTGGAAAATGTTTGTGCTTAGAAGACTTTGTAATAAAGTTAAACTTTTATTCCATTGTACCTACGGTATGGTCAGATTTAAAAGGTTTTCATCGCTAGATCTTAAAATCATGGAAAAGAGAATTTGAGCTTTGGAGTTTAAATGTAGATGCTTGATAGATCCTGCACACAATAGATTTTGAAGTAGAAGTGTGGAAAATAGTAATTCAGTAAAATGCAGTATTACGTTTTTGACTAAACATGCAGTAACACCACAGAATGTGACTAAGACACTCATTTGCTCACCATGATGTTGTTGAACTTGACATTCTGGTTGACAATTCATTTCTAACCACCAAACAGGCTAGGAGAGCTGCATGGCACCCTCTTGTTGGTAACCTTCCTTACATTCCTATATCTTAATAATGTCAAGGAATGTCTGATGATTCCTCCTATTTTAGCAACTAGTGATGCACCGTAATAGATTCGGAAGGAGAATGATTAGCAAGAAGGAAAAACAGCAATATATTAAAATGTGATATTTTATTTTTTTCCCAGATGTTCTTGAAAGGCCTGACCAAGGAGACATCAGTGCACTGACCAAAGCAAAGACACTGTACAAATCATGCACAAATGAAAGTGAGTTATTTTTGAGATGCAAAATTCAGATGGCTGATTATTCACTCCAGGCCCGCTTTCTTGAAAAGATTAGGTTTATGTAATCACGGAAAGAAATGTTTACATGTGAATGATCAAGGATTTACTTTCTCACAGCACAAATTGAAAGCAGAGGTGGCGCTCCCCTGATAAGCATCTTGCCTGATATTTTTGAGTGGCCTGTAGCGACTGACAACTGGGAAAATGAGTATGGTAAGCCATTGTGTATGCAGTATGATCAGGGCGTCTTATGTGTGAGAAAACATTCAGCAACCCGACTGCTACTGATGGAGCTCTTGTTCTTTTTCTTAGGTAAAACATGGACAGCTGAAGATGCAGTTGCCAAACTAAATGAAAAATATGGAAAGCGAGTTCTTGTCAATTTCTTTGTTGGAACAGACGATAAAGATTCTAACGTCCACATTATTCATGTATGTAACAGAAATATGTGTCACACAAAAAAAGTAATAAACATGCCAAGAAATGTTTATTCTAAAGGTCTTTTTTAAACGAATTTTCTTTTTAATTTAAACAACCTTTCAAAAATGGCTATTTCTGCCTCTCTGTCTTCAAGTATTTTAATGTTGTTTTTTGTGTGCTGTTTGGCACATTTTGGGGGTCTAAACAACTTTGAGGATGACTTCTCTTACAAAACATCAGTATGTGTATTCTGTACTTTGCTAACAAGGAACAGCTTATCGAATGTTACAATAGTACATGTTACTAGATGACAGTCTCATGAAATATTTATCAAACTCAGAGAGCTAAATTAGAGGAAAATTTTCTTCTGTATCCCGGTATGTAAATACTGCTGTGGTATTAATTATTACTTTTTTTGCCTGATAGTTTGATCAACCTGGGCTTGGTTTGTCTTCACGAGACTACTATGAATGTACGGGTCCCTATAAAGAGGTAGGAGTGCCATTTTCATACTGGCGTAAACAACAGAGGAAAGTGTCTTTCCTCATTGTACATTAGAAATCATTTAACTTGGAAACAAAATACATCATTCTCAAACTGACCTTGCTCGGTGAAGCTTATCCTTATACTTTTCCTTTAAGGTAATGTTATTTTTGTTAAGGGAAATTTTATTTTATTTTTTTCATTTTGGTCAAAGTTGGGTTTAGGGGTCAAGTGTAGCTCTAATGTATAAGAGATAAGATCACTTTATTGGCCATATACAATTTCTTGCATTAGGAATTTGTCTTTTCGCATACCCCAGCTTGCTCTCCATGAGACACACAGACAGTTCTGAGAGTGAGAGTTACAATTATAATTAAAGAACCTTTTCATGTTTTAACATAAAACTTTAATCTTTAAAAAAATTAGAATGATACTCAGTTTTATGTGTGTCCACGATCATATTTAAACAGAAGCAGAAACAGTGGTTTCTCAGGTCACGTGTTCACAGCAGATTAAGAAGAATGGTCTTTCATGCTCTCTGACTTTTGGTGTTGCAGTGTTTCTTTGTCAGGATTGTGCTGGGGCTGGCAGTGTGTAGGCAGGCTTAAGCAGGCAGGAATCCTGTCTTTAATGCCAGATTTGTGGTGTGAACACCACAGTCACCAGTGTTCAGAGCTACATGGGTGGTTTGTTTAGTTTTGTCAGTTTGTTTGGGAAGAAATATGATAGACACTGAAACGTCTTCCTCGTATAGCTTAGCTACCTGTGCAGTGTGTACAGCTTTGAACGAAATAATACCACTTGGTTTTTCAATTACTTTTCCACCTCAGAAATGTCTTACAGTGCATGTATGGAGCATTTTGTGTTACTGTGTCTGTGTTACTTTTAGGCTTTTAAAGGATCAGAAAGTCCTGCTCAGTTCTACAATATGTGCATACATCCATACTGTAGCTGTTATAGTTTCATCTCAAGATGTGCATTTGGCTCAGTGATCTTGCTTTAAGCATAACGTTGGTTTTGTCTTTCATTTAAAGAAGGAAAAGCTCTTATCTGTCAGTGCAAAATCAAAAGATACACATCAGGCTCCCTACTCCATTTTTCCCTGCAGCAAAGACACTGAAAGAATAGTACTGTAGATGTGCCATGTCTTCTCTATAGACCACAACTCAGAGTGCACAATTTTACTTGTGACCTTATTGTTTTCATGTTTTTCACCTCACTTACAATGGGATTAAAAAGTTAGAGCATTGTCAACATTGAGCACTGCCAATAAAAAGTCATTTGAAACATAAATAAGAAATACTGTTTTTCCCTTCAGATTTTAATGTAGGCCGAAATCAGCAATTTAAATTAGTTGCATCCTCTCTAAAGTCAACCAGACCCTGGCCTGTGGGCATTTGAATCATAATTCTTATAACTTTTGATCATGTTATTGTTTTTCCTTTTAATGTGTAATATATTCCTCTTATGAAGCTGTAACACAACACAAAACAAGATTAATGGCTCTGCTGTAGCATCCTTACTGAAAACAGATGTACCGTTGGGTCACTCTGCTTTCTGCTTACTGTCAACCTGTGGAGAAGAATACATTGTTGGAAATAATATTTAACTCTGTAAAAACATGAGTACATTGAAATGGGAGCTGTCAAACTCAATGAACTTTTAGTACAAAATTGGCAAAAGGATGTCATCCAGTCATTGAATGAAGCCAAGGTATCAGTTAGCAGTTATGCAGCTAATTAAATAATTAGACTGATTATGTAACTAAGAGCTTAGATGGAACAAAAGGCAGATGACACCAGGCCCACCAGGAAATTAGTTTGAGATCCTTGCTTTAGACCATAAATATTTTCTTGAGCCTGTTCTGTAAAAATATTGAGGAATTAAAAAATCTTAAACTACTCTTCTTTAGTCTTTCTTTGTTAAGGATATTGCGTTATGTCGTCTATGCCAAACTTTGTTTGACACGCTGTATAAAAGGACTAACTTAATAACCGTTCGGAGAGACTGGCCAGTGCAGGCTGCTCTCCCGTGTGCATGCGAAATAAATGACTCTTCTTTCACATACAGCAGGACTCTGTTATTTATATGACACAACAATATAAAGCATCTCATATAAATCATAATAAGTAAGAACAAATCACAAATATAGAAAACCAAATACAAGCAAAGCTTATATGTTTTTTTTTTCTGGTATCTGCTACTGTATATCTCTGAATTTAAGAAACAGAAGTTTGTTCACATCACATAATAAAACTGTAAACAAAAATTAGATGGTCAACATACAAAGTTGGAGGTCTTTCAGATCTTTCTGTATAAATACAGTAAACAAAACACAATGTGAAGATATATAATATAGTTTATGTATAAATACAGTAAGTTATATTTAATATTTAACAACTACTGTTTCTCTGAGGTCTATGACTCATGAGCATGAGTGGATACATAAAATGAATAATCACAGAATGCACATATTTTTGTCTTTTAACAAAAAAAATCAAACAGTTCAGATTTTACTTTTGGCGTACTAGATAGTGTTGTGCTTTTCTATAATTTGTGAAATTATTATAAATTGCATTTTATTTCAATAAATTACTAATTAAATGTCATTGAAATCCTCATTTTCAATGATCTTATCATCTTAATAATGATGATAATCTTAATAATAAACCTCTAAAAAATCTTTGTTTTATTTGACCTTAACTCTCACATTTTTTGTTTTCAGGTTCAGTTATTGAGTACTAAATAATGCTTTTTATGATGTGTGAGATGTGCAAAATATTTTGAGATGTTGTCAAAACACTAGATGTATCAACCAGTACACCCTCAGTATTACTTGGACACAGTAAAAAGTAACTTACTGACAGTGTTTCTGAGCAATCTCCAAAGCTGTTGCTGTGTTTTGTTTCGTTCTAGGCATGTGTCGCTTACATGAAGTTCATGACGGCAGTGGCGAAACTGATCAGAGAGGACAGAAACATGACTGTGGATGAGGCCAACATCACCGCTCAGATGCAAAGAGTGATGGCTCTGGAGAAAGAAATTGCTCATGTAAAACAACTTATTGTTTCATACTTAAGGTTAGCTGTATGAATATGTCAAGGCTCTGACTTTCTAAACTTCATGTAATATTTTTTTCCACAATTTGGAATCCAAAAAAATAAGGTAATTCTAGTGCTGTCTGCCAGGCTTTTAATGGTTTAGTTCTAAAGGTTTTTCAATTGAATATCCTCCAATGACTGTTTCCAGAGTTCAGAAGAATGCATTTTATTCCTTGCTGTTAATTATATCTCTCATGGATTTACCTATGTCATGGGAATGCTTCTTCAAAATATATACAACCCTCAAGTAAGCTTTATAAAGGTTGATTGAGTTATTGATTAACTTCTTATTGAAAGAAGCCAAGGTATCAGTTAATAGCCATGCAGTTAATTAATCATAGGTCTTATCCGTTGAATCCATTTTTGCACTTTTTAATCAGCCAAGTCAAGGTTCCCTGGAATGTGTGAAGCAAGTGCTCATTCTATACTGTGACATAATACAGGAGACTGTGCTGGCAAAGCATGAAGATCACACTGTAACACAGAGAACGCTTGTATCATGTTAATACAATGTGAGAAGTTAGACTGGATCTTTCGCAACCCTTGAACTGTTCATTATTACATAGGTGATCTTTCTCCTCTCGTATGCTTGATAATTTGCTTTTTTTTTTCTTAACGTCTTGCACTTTTTGTCACAGGCAACAGATAAGCCAGAGGACCGTAATGATCCTGTTCTGCTCTATAACAAAATGGAACTGGGAGAAATGAGGAAAAACTTCTCCTTAGAAATTGATTCAAAAGTAAGAGTCCTTAAATTTTGGGGGTGCCTATCAGTTTTGATAAGAATAAGAACAGTGACATTGTACAACCCACCAGCAGGCCAGTAAGTAATTTATTAAAGCATATCACCATTTTTAACTTTGCTTACGCAGGTAAATCCTTTAGAATACATAATGCTTCTTGGCAACGCAATCAGTACATAATATCAAAATACACACAACACGACCAACAGGACATCGAATATTTTGTTCCATACAGGAATTTAACTGGACCCGTTTTGCTAACAATATCATGGGAGCTGTGAATATTACTGTCACAGAGCAGGAGGCTGTTGTTCTGTATGCCCCTAATTACCTGAGGAAACTGAATCCTATCATTTCTAACTACACCGCCAGGTAAGTAGCAGACTTCTCTTCACCACATCACTGTACTAGCCAGATGAGGCAAAGGGGTTAAAACCAATTTTTCCTTTCCCATTCAGAGACATTCAAAATTACATTGTGTGGCGCTACATCATGGATCTGGTGAACAGTCTGAGCAGATCCTACAAAGACACAAGGAAAGCCTTCCGCAAGGTAAGTCTACGATGCAGGGCCATGCTCCGATATTTAATGTAATGTGTACAGAATTGCCTTATCTGGTGCTTGTATAATATCGACCAAGGTATCAATGGCATTTTGCACACTTTCAAGAGAACGTTGCTTCCATTTCTTTGTGAATCTTTTCTAGCAGTCTTGCAGAACTGCAGGCATTGCAGTGCAAGGGACCTGAGCTCATTATCATGTTGCACATAATTGTAGCAATCCAGTCCCCAGCTACAAAGCACTGGGCTCCATTGTAGACATCATGCTGCGGCGTGATAGACAGTACTTTTCTGTAGATATTGTCATCCATAGGCCCTTTATGGAACAACCTCGGAAACAGCTGTGTGGCGTCAGTGTGCCAACTACGTCAACAGCAACATGGAGAACGCAGTGGGGAGACTGTACGTTGAAGAAGCTTTTGCTGGGGAAAGTAAAGAGATGGTAAGCTGAGCTTCGTGCAATGCCCTCCTTCAAGGATTAGTTTGCCATCAGTCTGGTAGTACAGTTTCTCCTCCAAGGGATGACCCATGATATATTTGCATGTCATCAGATTGCAGCTTCTGACAGACTGCAAATCAGGCCACAAGTGTGACTTGTGACAGATCTGCACTACAGAGGGTAATCGCAGCTTCTGCTGGATGCCTGCCAACACAGAACAGATGGGAGGTGATTTTCCACACAGCTTTGGTCATTTGGTCTGATGACAAATTTAACATTTCTTAAGGTGCTACTACTTTCATCTGTGCTCACTTCTTCTGGAGGCGAGCTGTTTAGTTCCTTTAGTTGGGAAAAATGTTTTTTTTTGTTTGATTACTAGAAAATAACAATTAGAGCAAATGATCTGGCCTTTCCTTTGATATGTGTGAGATGGAAATGGAAATTTACATTCACTTTGAAATGCTCGAACGTGCACACCTTTCAGAATAAAAGCTAGTCTGGCTTCAGAACATGAAGCTTTTTATAAACCCTTAAACGCATATTGACTTATCAGAAAGAAAAGGTTTTGATATATGAAGTGATAAATTAAATAGGTCTCACATGGCAACTAACACAGGTCAATGAACCCAGATAAACCTCGCTGTGGCTGTATAGTAGGAGGAAAGAGAAACAAAATCCTGTGCTAGGATTTGTGCCCAGATTGTTTAAGTGATATGACTTTTTACTACCAACATATAGAAATAAAAAATAGTATGTGTAAATACATATTACAGGCTTTATTGTGCATTCATTTGAAACAGGTGGAAGAAATGATCGCTGAGATCCGGGAGGTATTCATTAACACTTTAGATGACCTTCAGTGGATGGATGAGGAAACCAAGAGAAAAGCAGAAGAAAAGGTTTGTTTCAGCTGCACAGCATAGCGTATAGCAAGGGGCTCTGGGGTAGGTACCTGGGACTTGGTTATGAAAGGCACCCTAAAATTAAATTAAATCTGTAGAACAACCTCAGCAATCCCTAATACTTTAATAGCACCAAAGAATAACAGCATGTTTCTAAAGAACTGGACCCAAACCCATAATACTCTCATAGCTGTCTATTTTGTGTCTTACATTAAAATACTGCCACTTGGTTCATCTCATCAGGCAGCCGTTTCTCTGCCTTTGCTGAAAGACATAATTAAATCATTAGAAACTTCCCAAGGGCTGGAGTGTCCAGAGAGAGCCAGGGTGTACAGCAGCTCGGAGATTGTCTGAGTGTTTTTAAGACTGTTGAACTTTTCCGTCTTGGCATTATTTGTTTTCCAAAGTTCAATATTTCCAGGGGCCTGTTGCATGTCTGGGAGGGCTTCCTGTCACAAGCAGTCCAGTCAAGCGTGGCGGAGCGCTAGAATTAAGTTTGTTGTGCTCCGCTGAATTATTTTGTCTCTGAAATCAGCTATGCCTGTTTCCCTGATTAGCGGTGAAGGACTGGAAGAGCTGACAAAACCACGCTTCAGGTTAATAATGATTGGCTTCTCTCTATCATTATGAAAACAGTTTTCAGAATTTTGAAAGCAGCACTTGGCAGCTTTATTTCCCCATCGGAGTCAGAGAATCACTTATACCGAGTAATAACTGTGTTTGTGACTTGTTACCTGTTGAATATTATAGGCATTGACATCAGTTCTGAAAGCAGGAGGAACTGGAGTTCAGTTACATTTACATGCAGGTCTAAACATGTATTGTATTACATCAGGAAGCAGGTTTGCTGGCATTACGGGAAAGCATAATAAAGTCATTACAGACACACTGTGTATTTTAGGATATGTTGCGTTTAGGCAGGATTCATGTTGCAAAATAAAAGAAAACACCACGATGAACAGACAATGTACAGCAAAGTCTTGCCCAGTCTGGGTTCATAGTTGGTTTGCTGAGGGGTAGGAGGCTTGAGCTCATGGCTGGTTTCTGGGGGAGGGGGAGGTAAAGAGTATAAGGTCAGCCTTGGTCTGAGTTGGGGAGGGAGAGTATCAGTGAGCTCATACCTGGTCTGAGATCGAGCTGGGCAGTGCAATGGTGTCCTACTCTTTTAGGAAAACAGTATCTTGGTAGAAGTCTAGACAAGAAACACATTTATTTGTCCATGGGGCTACTGCACATCACAGAAAAAAAGAAAGGGAATGCTCAGTCATTCCCCTTACCCTTTAATTTGGGCCCTGCATTAGAGAGAGAGCCCTCTGATCCACCTCTCCCCAGGACTGTATGTAGACGCACAAAACACATTGCCTGGACCCACAGGTCTATTTTCTCCACTTTGAGTTCTGTGTTTTTCTCTCTTCCCTGGCCAATTATCCACTGTACCTATACAGAACATACAACATCTGTTGTGCATAAAACATCTGTTGTGCATGCTTCTGTCTGTAAAACATCTGGAGAGGCATGGGGGCAAAGTGTACTATAACAAATAGAGGCTAGCTGAGATTTAGATTTACAATATCTGTTTTATTTTATCGTGGATGGGAAAATATTGTAATGAAATATATTAAATGATTTTTTTTAATTAGGGAATGATTAATTCAAGATTCTTGTTTTAAAATTTTGATTTATACTTAAGGTAATGGAAAGTGTTTAAACAAAGTTTGGTTCACTGTAGGAATTGATTTTGATTAATTAGATGCAGAACCAGTTACTGTACATACCTGTTTAGCCCTCAAATGATATTTCATTAAACTCGTAGACCAACAGAAAAATGTTCATAGAAAAATAAGGAAAATTCATGATGTCATTACCTTATTAATCTTTTATCTTTGTAGGCAAGAGCTATTAGGGAAAGGATTGGATACCCAGAAAATATCAAGGACAACGCCCAGCTGGATAAAGAGTATAAAGATGTACGTTTAAATTGCATACAGCTACTGTTGTGAAATGTTTTCTTAACTACACTATAAAAATATAACAATTACACAATTAATTATGACTGTGCACAGAAAATGGAGAATTCATCTTAATGTGATGTAATTAGTGGAGTACCACAGGGATCTGTACTAGGACCACTACCCATGATCTAGATTCAGTTGTAATGAATTGCTCAGCTGATACCTACTAGGATTAGCAGATATTGTAGATCAAATTCATAATGGTTTACTGTAGATAAAATTCAATACTGCTCAAGAACTGTAGACAGGTGTAGGGTATTCAATGTGGACAAGTGTAGGCTATTTCATGCAAGCAGTGAAAACATACACTGTAAATACAAAATGGGAAAAAAACGGGAGAAGAGGTTTCTTATGATAAAAACGTAGGTGTTTATGTTGACATATCATTTACATAGAGTATACTAGATGATATAGTAAAGCAATAAAAAAAGCACACACAATGTTAGGATATACAGGAAAAAAAACATTTAATTTAAATTAAGTTTTGTTATGTCAAAATTGTAATATGCACTAAAAAGACCCAATTTAGAATATTAATTCTTGTAAATAAGAGAAATTGATAATGATGTTGTAAATTATTATTCTGTGGTAGAAAGTCAGTTTTATCTTTGTTCTTGACTCACAGTATGAAAGCTGCATGTTGATTACTGTTACTTCAATTTCAGACTGTAGTTTTGGAGTCATTTCTCAATATGTAACCCACTGAACATTTGAACTTGACAAACAAACTAAAAATGCTTCATGTGCAAATATATTTATTATATTTAATATATGTACAATTTACATTGTAGAAACAAACGCTAAAACTCTGCCTAAAGAGGGAGTGAAAGCGAGAGATTAGGGATTGTTTTAAATTGCCAGGGGGGCATGAACCCACTTGCCATCAGACTAGTTGTCAGATTCTATCAACTGTATCTCCATGTCATCCAAATCTCTCCACATTCACCCAGTTCACTCTCATTCCTACTTTACATAAAATAGTCTCCAGAGTGCCTTTTTTCATGTTCTTTTGCCACAGTTAAACTACAATGTGGAAGAATACTTTGGAAATATCCTCCAGAATCTGGAGTTTGGACAGAAGAAACGTCTACAGAAACTCAGGGAAAAAGTCAACAAAGAGGAGTAAGTGTCTCTGTTTGATTTGAATTCTATCTCTGCAATTTAACATGGGAGAACAGAACAAACTGAAAAAAGAAAGTAAGAGAAACAGAACCATTTTTAATACAGGTACAGAGACCTTTATTAAAACCAAACCCCCAGAGTCAATAACTGAAAAGTTATTCAGTTTTTGTGACATAATTATCAGCCTTCCAATGGGTCTGTGGTGTGCTCAGTTTCACTCAGCAAGATTTGATTGCTATCTCAAGGGCAAATTCACCTTTCTGAGTCTCACAGCAGTGAATTACACTTCTCCAAAAGTGGCCCCAGGAGAATTCAACACTATCTGGGAGACCTAGGAGGTTATGTCACATAACAGACTCATCTCTTCCACCTGCATGCTTCAAATGTACAACTTGCTGTGTTTGAGTCTCCTTTGTTTCATGTAGCATGGCACACATACTGTACATTATCCGCTTTTAGTAGAAGCTGTTTGTTTTTATATGATAATAGTTTTGTCACATTGTGTTATAGTACGATTCCAGTTTCTAGCAGCAGCAATAGTTACTTTATTTTCCCTGTAAGCACGTGCCATACTACCCTCTCCCATGATCAGTGAATTGGACAATAAGTTAAACGTTTGATGTTTTGAAAAACTTGGTTCTAACCATTGTATGTTGTAACTATCCCAAACCTTAAAATCCAGTAGTATTATGATCAATGTAGACTGTGAAGATTTCAATAATGCCACTGTTTTGTAATCTAAAGGTGGATCACTGGAGCAGCTATTGTCAATGCCTTCTATTCTTCAAGCAGAAATCAAATCGGTAAGATTTTACCATAAAAATAATAAGTAGTCACTTACAGTACATGTGACAAAGTGCATGGTCAACGGATTTACCAGCTTTGAATGAGTTAAGACCAAGTTGTAGGAATCACTCAATGATCACATCCTTGAAGGGAGCAGAAAGCAGACCTTTATGTACAGTATGCATACAGGAGCACGGTAAAGAAAACCGTTTTAAATGTAGCTTAGATTGAATACAGCAGTATTTCCCTTTTCTATACAGTGAGAGTCACACCAATTTAGTCAAATAAGAGAAATCCAAAACAGAAGCAGATATTCCAGCAGAAAAACATCTACAAGATATTATCTTAGGTACTTTCGATTATTTGCGTACAAAGAGAGCATTTAGTTTCAAAACGGAATGTCTGTTACCTGATAAAAGAGAGTCGTGACCAATTGCAGCTATCAGCCAGCTACTCGCCAAGGCTAAGGATAATTATGAGAACAGGACCTGTTGTTCTTTTCTCAGAGGACAAAATTCTTAATCCTTTGGACTTTTTCAATCCCCCCTACCGACACAGTCAGTTTCTTTTAACTAAAACCATATCTGTCTATTCTCTCTTTTTAGAGGAAAACTCAGAAGGATCAGTATCATATTTGCCTGCATATTTGCCACAATATTTGCTTTACAGACACTGTTAAATATTGTGCCTTAGTCCTTTAAAATCCCTTTCAATAAAAAGGGGAAGTCTGTGGTCCTCCTTTGAAAAATATTGGATAGGATTTAGAATACTGCGTGCCAGATGGTCTTTACAAAGCCAGTTTCACAACAAGAATTCCTGTGCTTATATTCCTAAGCAAGAGATGTTATGCAAAATGAAATCAGCCCTCATGCCTTTTTGAAACAAATTCTACTTTTTAAAATGAAAATGGCCGCTCCATAATGCATTACAGCGTACCACAGAACTACTGGGATGAGCTTGCATGCTGTATGTGTCACCTGCAAGGTGCCATTTTCTAATTTCAGCCCTTGATTGAAGGGGAAAGAAACTTCAACTGAGAAACGGCTCAATTGGGCAATACTGAATGATCCCACGCGTCAGCGTTTAAGCATAAAATAGATGACTAAATAGGGGTTACAGCACTGCAGCACTGAATCATTTTTATTGACCAATTATACTGGCATTGCCGCTTGTGTATTCTGGTTCGTGTTTTAATGGAGGAAACATCTGTTCTTCTTTTTAATAGTTTTCCCCGCTGGAATTCTGCAACCCCCCTTCTTTGACAAGGGTCAATCCAAATCCCTCAATTACGGTGCGATTGGCATGGTCATTGGCCATGAAATCACCCATGGCTTTGATGACAATGGTAAGAAGCCACAGTTATATTCTTCACATTTGTTTGAACAACAGGAGCGGGGGGGGGGCGGGGATTTTGAAGGAAACTGGTATTGATTCCTTGGTTTGTATACACTGTGAAGGCAGAGACAAAGTGAACTGGCTTTTCGAAACAAAAGGTGCTTAATCACCTACAAGAAAGATGTTATGAGACACTCTTACCCCTAATGCACGTACTGTACCTCTATGCCTTCGATCCAGAAAAAAACTTGCATGTGGTTAAAAGGTTAAAACCGTCTGTCTGCAGAATGTGACAAATCCCACACTGTTTTAGTACCATGACAGGTAAGCATCTAATTCTTGTGTTTGAGAGCAGGATGAGGCAACACCTAGTGACTGCATGTTAATTACCCAGCACTGCAATCCTTACCGCCATAATAAATGCTTTTGAAACAAAGACAAGCACAGACACCCACAAGCACATCAGAGACAAACAAAACTTTCATGTTAGAGTAAGAAGAACTCCATCTTCAATCAGCATTGTGTGCTTATTCTTGGCAGGCAGTCTCATCAACAAACAAGGATAATTGTGAAGACAATGTTCTCAGTGTTAGAAGTATTTTTCCTCCATTTCTTGACCAAAGCCAGGACAGTGCATTCTGCCGCAGAGTACAGTGTTGGTATACTGTTAAACTGATTTGATGCAGTGAGTTTTGCTTTCTCTAAACAGGTAGAAACTTTGACAAAGATGGAGACCTCACAGACTGGTGGACAAAGGAGTCAGCTGCTAAATTTAATGAACTTTCCAAGTGCATGATTGACCAGTATGGGAACTTCTCCTGGGATCTAGCTGGTGGTCAAAATGTAAGCATCCACAAAATGATTATTATTAAGACAGAAAGCCTGATCTTAAAAAAAAAAAAGATTTGTGTAGTAGCTTAGCATTTGGGTGCCAATGCAACAAATGAATATTTAAAAAAGAAATAACCATGAATCTAAAGATGCCCAGCTATGATGAGAAAAACCTTATGGATACCTGGCCGAGGAAACAAATTCAACCCAAAATTCACTAAAAGTTCTCAGGATTATTTAGCCTACCGTATGCGTTGTCTGTCTATAGTGTGAACTGATCCCTCCACTGCTAGCACACACATTGAGAAATCCTTTAGTAGTCAACAACCAACCAAGGTACCTAATTTCTACCATAATTAAGAAAAAATTAATTGAAATAAAATTACCTTGAGTTCGATTACATTATGCTGATTAGTCACTTTCAAGGAATAGGCTAATTCATATACTTAAGACTATTTCAAGTAATTAAAAAAGCTATGGCTTCAATTCAATTAAATTCAAATTAAGGTGCCTTAAATTCCGATTGCTGAATTAAAAAAAAATCGTTTAGCATTGCACCATGTAGCTCTGTCTCTGACATGGGCATTGGTAGTCAATTGGTAACTGGTGGCTCAGTGTCTCAAACTTGGCACTGTTCAAATCAAATCAAATCAAAGTTTATTTATCCAAGGCACAACAATACAGCGTGCAGCAGTAGTTGCTGGCAATGAAATGTCATTTCTACGAGCTCACTGGGGAGGGGATAAAAATCACAAAATTAAAGTTACAAAAGAGGTTACATAATAATACATAATAGTACAATAGAAATTGAATAAAATAAACTCAGACAGAGCTCAATATAAACAGAGCTGCGATGTATCCAGGGTGTATGCAATACATTATATCCAAGTAGTGCAGTATGCTGAATACAATGAAAACTCTGTGTCCATGTAGCCATTACGGGTGATTTGCTGAAGGAGCTGCAGCTGGGCTATTTAGCAGTCTTATTATCTGGTTATCTGGTAGAAGCTGATCCGTAATCTGCTGGACTTTGACCGAATGCTTCGGTACCGTTTACTGGATGGTAGGAGGGAAAACAGTGTGTGACCGGGATGACTGGGGTCCTTGAGAATGGACCTGGCCTTCTTGAGACATCCAGCTGAGTAGATATCCTGGATGTTTGCTAGCTTACGGCCGGTAATGAGCTGCGCTGACTTCACCACCCTCTGCAGTACTTTGTGATCCCGGGCGGAGCATCGCCCATACCAGGAGACCCTGCTCCATTCTGCACAGAAGATAGATCTCAGAGGACAGGGCAGACAGTGAGAGTAACACACAGGGGCAGTGACTTTGTCTCATCCATGAATTTTAAACCGACTTGCAGTCAACAGCTCCCAAGAGGCTACATTGTCCTAACCGGTGGAATCTATTAACACAATTGATGTATTAATCTACATTTACTGGTTGTTGTTTGTTTCTACGTTCTGAACAACAAATGATGCAAGATCCTAAGGGGAAAAAAAAGAGATGAACAGGTTAAAAAATCTCAGAACCGGTTTTGCCACACTGAGAGAGAATCAGGATGTTTAAGCCCTCAAGAACTCTTTTCTCCTCATCACTGTTCATGTCCTTCAGTGCAAAATCTTCAGTGTCATCGGGGGAGACTTTCTTGACTTTTGTTCTCTGCTCAGCAACACCCTGTCTGTGTTGTGGGCCTCTCGTCTGCTCTCCACAGCTTCCTCCAGCATCCAGCTTTCTGGCTGACCCTCGCTCCCAATCCTCCAGCTGCCTGGTCACCCTGATCACCCATTCCTGTTACTTCCGGACTTTGCTTTTACCCGTTACCCGTTTTTCCTGTTGGTCCTCTGAGAAGGCGCTCTACGTCAAGAGCAGCTATTCATCACTAAAAATGGGTGTATAGTTACATGACCCAGTCTGAGAGGGCTTATAACAAATCCAACTTTCCAGCTGAATGTTTTTCTTCAGACATGCCTTCTTAAATCTTCACAATTATATTTTTCTACATTCGGGACTGGTGTTGTCCTATTTTTTGGTTTGTTCTGGGGAACTTGCCCACATGGCCAGGTTTGTCACTCTCTCTAGCCCAGCGGTTTCAAAATGAAAGGAAAAGTGTGGGCATCCTCTATCGCTCCATGGGGCTTGTCTGTATCTCCTGAAATCAATCTTGCCCTTTCAGCTTACAATGAAATAACACAAATTAATCTGGTTTCAATATGCGTTTAATTTGGGCTGTTTATAGCGAGAATATTCCTTCTGAGAAAAGTGCTGCCCAAAATTTGGTTAAAAGTTCTTGGAAAAAGACTTTTCAAAGAAAAGCCTAATTTTTTTCTCCATTTTTTGAACAGCTCAGTGGAGTTAATACTTTGGGAGAGAACATTGCAGATAATGGTGGAGTCAGACAAGCATATCAAGTAAGCCCTGTGAATGAAAAGGATTTGATCTCTTTTGATTATGTGTCATTTTTTATTTTAGGACCTTTTTTCGTACAGGTAGGAGAATTTCTTGTAAAATCTATTTCTCTAGTTCAGCCCTTCATGAAGAAAAAGCAAGTGTCTTTATTTTTTGTAAAAAAACATTTGTAAAATATGTATAGTTTTAAGACATAGCAATTCATATACAGTATATTGAAATATCAATTAAAATAAAGTAATACTAAAAACTAGAAAACCCCTTTTAGGTGTTTTAGGCATTACAGTTTTCTACAATTCATCCCATGAATATGCTTTTCACTAAACTTTATGACAGTTCCATTCTTGAACTATCCAAGCCATGTTATAATGAATACAATCAAAAAACTTAATTTGAATTTCCAGGCATACCAAAATTACATTAACAAAAATGGACAGGAGGAGCTACTGCCAGGAATTGACTTGAACCACAGACAGCTATTCTTCCTCAATTTTGCACAGGTAAGCTCCAGACTAAGACACAGAAAATCCTTGTCTTTGGCAATCTGTGATTACCTAAATTAATTAAAGCATGAGATATAACTTACTGACAAAGTTATATTAATGTTTTAAAATCACATTTAATGCTTTATTTAATAATATTAAAGTTTTCTGACCTATAAATGTTCTTGCCCCTCATCAAAAACAGTTTTGTAGAAACAACTTTTTCAAAGCAGAGATGTATTTCTTGTGCACTGTAAAGTAGAAAAGCTCATCTTAGTCCTTATCTCTCAGATCTAACACAGGCAATGAGCAGAATTGGAGAAAATGTGAACATGTTAAAAAAACAAAGCTTCTCTTTGTTGATCTTTCACTATAAGAGATGAACTGTAGACAGTTATTAGTTTTTTTTTGTTTTGTTGACTTACATGTGTGAGGTAAAAGAAAAAAGGACTTATTGTTTCATTTTAGGTGTGGTGTGGTACCTATAGACCTGAACATGCTGTTAATTCTATCAAAACTGATGTGCACAGCCCTGGAAAATTCAGGTTTGTTTGTTTTTTAATTGCACTGTATCTCCTGTATGTGTTTGAATGTCTTCTGGTCACTTTACATAAACAACAATAGAGATAAATACACCTCATACATTACATCGGTACACGATTTCATATAAATGCTTTGCTGTTATCATTATCCATAGTAACTTTAACCTTCATGCAATAACCAGGGGTGTTTCAGCACAGCCAAATGTCATTATTCTACAGGGAAATAAGATAAAAAATAATTAATGGTCATTAAGTAATTCACTACTCTTTCTAATATTTAGTTATCTACTGTATATCATAGGAAGTGCTAGAAGAAGTAATTATTATACATTTGTGGTAAAAAGTGACAGGATTAATTTAATATTTTATCAACATGTATGTTTTTTTTTTCCTCAAACAGAGTTTTAGGGTCATTACAGAACTTTCCAGAATTTGCTGAAGCCTTTTCTTGTCGCAAGAAAGATTACATGGCGCCACTGCAGCAGTGTCGAGTGTGGTGAAGTGGGCAACAACTCAAAGAAAGACCCCTTGTCAACAGACTGTTAGACTCTAATTGCAGGGATTCCACTGAATGTGTACAGGGGAGGGTTACTGAATGCAGTGCCCTCTCACACAGAACTGTTCTTTCTTTCCTACCTAGTAAATGTGCTAAATTGTAATTAATCTTCAAACAGTTCATTAAACTAGATTTGATTTTTTTTAAAGCCGGTATTCATGCACATAAAGTATAGCAGCACAAAAACGGATCTGAACATTTTCTATATAAAGATTTTTCATAAAAATTGAAATTACTAGTATCGCATATATTGTGTTGTGTTTCTACAGTAGTTTTACACTTCATGTATAATTGTTTCTTTGAAAACAGAAAAAGCCTTATGAACTTACTTTTTTATATGAGTTAAATTGTGATTCCTGGTTAAGGGGGCTTGATTGACTTACTCATTTGCAGAAAGTCAAGATACGACTTTGAGGCAAAGCAAGTAAAAATAACATTTACACCAAAGATTTCAAATTCTCTCAAATGTACCCTGTACATTTCCTCTCACAAAACTAATGATTTCATTTATAAAATTTTAAGGATTCATGACTAATTTGACTTTAGAAAGATTACACTGAATGTTATCTCTTAAGAGTAGAGGGGGTTAATACTCAAGATGACTTCAGTCTTTGCTGATAGTACTCCTACGATACACCTACTCAAGTGATATCGTTTTCTGAAAGGAATGTGCTCACTGCTTACATTCAAGAGATGTACTTTTTGTCAATTTTCTTTATATGGGAAGTTAAAATTCTATAAATGATATTTAGGCCAGTAATAAAAGAAAACAAAATCCTGTATCAGAAAGGCAAGATACTGTGTTTCTTTATTGCTGTTTTTGTCAAATCCTTGCAATCTGTAGTATCTGCCATTGAAGGTGATACATTTTAAACATCACACTTCCATAACTTTAAAGTTAAATACCATTAGTCCAAGGTGTATTAATACAGTATTTAGAAAGTTAAACACAAATACCTCAGATGCCTGGATTTAGGTACTTTGTAAGAAACATATTCAGAAATAATTTGTTAATAAATTCTAACATAAAAGTGGTTCTGTTTTATCTGTGTTTTGTTGACATACAGTATACACCTTTTCGCAAGCACTAAAAATACAATGGGTGTATTTGAATCAGCCAAAAGCCCATCAAGAGTCTTTTCTGTTTCTGCAGCAGATCGTCTTTGCTTCTGCGAAGGTCAAAGTGCGTCACTGATAAGCCATTATAGATTCCCTTCAGATGTGTTACTGTAAATTCTGCTTTAATCATGATTAAAAACACATTTGTTGGCACCGGACTGACAGCAGGCAGCAAAAGCTGTAATTTGAACTCAAGACGTAGGTGCATATTCTGGACAACGAGAATAACGGAATAATGGAACTCAACACTTCACACAGTTGGTTGAACTCTTAATAGTTGATATACTGTATATATGGGTGCAGGAATGAGAAAGTTGTTCAAACATATATGCAGCTTTGGTTGTTAGATATGAAAACTAAATTTCTAAAGATATTTAACATAGGGTTCTTGAAAGACAAACTATTGTATCGTAGCGCTCTGGGGTTCACATGGGTTTGTGCCCTCGCCGCTGCTGCAACAGGTCGGCCCCCCACCGCTGGGGACACGAACCTGGCCTCCAACGTCACTCAACAGGGACCTAGCCAGTTGAGCTAAAGGGAAATCTCCCATCAGCCCAACAGCTGCGGTCCCTGCTAGTCACAGGGAAGGGTGGTGACGCCACCGCGCTGGTAAGCCGGCTCACACAACCTGCAAAGTCGGCCATATGCGTTGCAGTATTGATAAAAAACAATAATTAGAAACCAATGTTAAATTTGTATTGTGAGTTTTGAATAATCTAAAACTGACGATTTTGGGATGCGCTGCATTATCGGAAATAAGTTTTGCTTATTTGTATTATATTGCAAAGGAACAAGTAATAGGTTTATTCCATGCTGAAAAAAAGAAGAAAGAGAACACAACGTTTCGGCCGTGGAGCCTTCTTCAGGTGTGGGATTTTTAATGACCACAGAGAGTCAGGACCTCGGTTTGACGTCTCATCTGAAGGACGGCACCTGTTTACAGTATAGTGTCCCCATCACTATACTGGGGCATTAGGACCCACACAGACTGCAGGGTGAGCGCCCCCTGCTGGCCCCACTGACACCTCTTCACCCCATTCTTCCCCCATTTGATTCCGATCATCCTCAGAGCCGCTGTAGAGGAGTATGCACCTTGAATCCTCCACTCGGGTTTCTCAAGTACTGGGTCTTCCAGTCTGTCTGCGTGGTTTGACTTTTTTTTAGACTATAGAACCCTAAATTAAGGATGAATGTTTACTTACTAGTGTAGGTAGGGTAGAAAAGATTAACACATTGGCACGCAAGACGACAGCAGTACACAAAGTCTCTCTTTTTAACCACAGCGACAACGTATTAAGACAGAAGAAGGACAGAAAATCAAGTAAATAAAACATGCTTAATGTGTTATTGTAGAAGTATATCTGGCAGTGCAGACTAAATGTGTCAAGAAAGAATTCATATTATTTACAAAACGATACTGCTTTCAAGTGCTTTAAAAGATTAGGTTTTTCCTAATGACAGGCCATGGAAGAGTTTAGAAATGGAAAATGAGAACTTCTTCAGAAGAGCCCTACATGCATAAAAATGTTAGATACTGACGTTTTTAAACAAAACTTCACTAGCAGCACATCAAAAACAGTCGTTTTGAATAGCCAAATCTAGTTTGTTTAAAGTGACCTAAGAGTAAATTAAATTATAGCAAATTTATTACAGACAACGAACTTCTTGTGCATAATAAACATTTCGCATAATGGAAAATCAAGTGGTGGCAATGTTATTTCCCTTCTTTTATGCATGCAAAAAAGCCACTGGTCCTTCTTTTAAATTATAAACAATTTTCTTTTGCTCTCTCTTTCTTAAGAAAGTTTTAAAATGTGCTTTGTTTATTTCAGCAAAATCCAGTTACAGGCTGCAGCTTCTGTAGAACATTCTGTCAGATCAAGTAAATTCTGAAATTTTGTAACTGACCTTAGCACCTCTGAGTTAACTAAAAATTAGCACACAGATGTTAATGGTATGAATCTTATAACTAAATAACTAGCAGTACTAGCAGGTACAGTAAGTAGTTCTCAACGAACAGCATGTGTGTGAAAAAATGTTGCTCAAAACACTGTAAACCCATAATTTTCACTATGTTCAGTGTGAACTCAGTTTGACCTTTGAAAATGAGACATTTGACATTGCTTGGGCAATGGCTCTGCATTTCTAATATTTCCTTTGTAGAGGTAACCATTTAAGACATTGGATTGAAACATTCCATTCAGTGCAAAATCTTCCCCACAATACAACCCACGATTTCCATTATATACAGGAGTACTGTACACACACTGCGGGCCCTGTATTTGAAACACTGAGCGAAAGGGTTTTAAACATCTTCTGAAAGTATTTTGAACATATGACAATTAAACCAGAATCAGTTAACAGATGATTTATTAAATTACGTTATTTAGAAATCATCTGGAACGAAAATCAGCCCTAAAGGACTAGAGTTTCCTGAACTGAACAAATTACTTACAGAGATGGAGACTCCAGCTCTAACTCATTCATTTCCTTTTTGACTTATCTCTCCATGCTTCTTTAGGTCATCTGTAGCATCTGTATCTAAAATATTCACCCATGAGATTTTCATATCAGTACTTTAACAGGGCTGCTTTGATATGGGAATAATATTTTGCAAGAATGGGAAGGTTTTGCCGTCAAAAGAGCAGAACGAAATTGCTCTCACTCACTCTCTCATCTCTTAAGTGGAGAAAAATGGAATGACACCTAGCATACTGGTGAAAATATCTATTAAGCCCCCATTTTAAAAAACCCCTGTATATTCACAGATGGAGTGTCAGTCAAACCCAATTAGAAGGCAGCACTTCAAATATGAAAAAAAAAAGATTTCTTCTGTGAAATGCTAATTTGACTCATAAAGGATGCTTTTGTAAGTAGATCTGAAACATTATCTGGACTGATTGTATTCACAGTGGGAATACAGGGCTCATTTGTTTTTCAAAATGCACAAAAGTGATAATAATTTCAATACCTTTTTAATCTTGCAACCACCAAACAAAAATCAGTATAACCTGAGATGAAAGAATTTTAATTTTGAATAATTCCTGCTCCCAGTTTTGCATATTATGTGTGCCACCTGAAATGCTTTGAATGTATTCCATACAGTACCTGCTACCAACAAAACCAATAATAATAATAATAATAATAATAATAATAATAATAATAATAATAATAATAAATCATTATTGTTGGATGTTTTTAAACTGATCTTGAATATTTGAAGAAGTGATGTTTAAGAAGAACATAAATGTAGTTTTGACAGTTACTGATAAAAATCTACGTGCAACAACATTATCCAGCAATGAATTGCCCCTGCCTCTGGGGTCGGAAAAGAGTACTTCAAACCAAGAGCATCATGTTGTGAATAGTGAAAAATGATGACCTCCTGTGGTCATGCCGAAATCTCTTCCCTTTCCCGTACGTGATCACCTTTCCTTGTAGCTGAGGTTTAACGATTAGCTGGAAAAAATGACTTCACCTCTTGTGGTTAAGTCCTCAATTATGTGCAGGTGGTTATGATTCCATTATAATAATAAGTTCTTAAATGCCAAAGGTACTGTAACTCACTTGTATATTCTTCAAAACATGCAAAGCAAAACTACATATATGATTGTTGTATTCAATGAACGATTTTATGTGATTTAAGATCTCAATTTTCACACATAGGTGGACTTGGTATGTGTATTATAAATAAGTCTTACATGATAATGGCAATATAAAGTTCGTAAATAAACCTCACAGTATATCCTACACAAGGCAAACAGCCCGAATTTATCCAGTTAATTCAACTGAAAAAATAGATATCTACTGTATATCGTGGACATGAAACTGGGTAATGATCCTTTATGCTAATGAAGTACTTTGACTTTTATTTACACGTGGTCTTCCTAAAAGTATATTCAGAGGCTTCTGGTTTGGCAAAAGACCCAGCACTTCATTCATTGTTCAGAAAAAAACAACACAGCTGCTGCGAAATCATGGACGTGTTGTCCAGCATCTCAACAGGCGAATCCAAACAACCGAGGGCGTCACAGTTTACTTGAAAGAAACAAAAAAGAGGTGATGTCACATAGTGCGGGGGTTGCCCCCTGGTGGCAGAACAATGGGAATGTATTCAAAGTGCGAACAACTCCATTGTCTGCATAGATACGGAAACTTATAACCCCCCTTGCGTCTTTATCACTGTACTCCATGATGATTTCGGAATCAGATTTAAAACTTTTGCATTTCGGCTATGTTTGAAAGCAATATCCACTACAAAAGCAGAGAAAAAGGAAAAATATGCATTTTTTTCTTAGGATTATTTTATTTTCAACCTACTTCATTTTGCAGGTAGTGGTTTTTGATGGCCTCACAGGTCACAGGTATGTTAGGGATAAATTATGAAGCTTCCAAATCTCATGTCACAATTGGCAATTGTACTGTGAGCCGTAGAGGTTCAAGCTGCCTGCTGTGGTATAGTGCAAGAAGCTGATGCCAGGACTTTCAAACCCCAAACAAGTTCTGGAGAAAGTGATTCGGTGTGTGAAAGTCAGATGCATTAAGTACATGGCCTGCTTTTCCCTGTTACACTTGTGGCCTGCCATTTCAGCCACCATGCAAATAACTTGGCAGTACTACAGCCTCTGACAGGTTTGAAATATGGAGTGGAAAATATGTCACCTGGTGGGAGAGGTCAGGGATCCACAGAAAGATCTGTCAGTTGAAATAAACTGGAGACACATCATTGATTTGAAAAGGCTGAAATAGACACTTGCTCTCCCTGTATAACCTCAGTGGAATGCAACAAGGCGAAAGGCTGCTTACTGTTCTTAGCTGAATTTTGGAGCAAAGACTGTTTTGATCTGTGATTAAACTGGCTTCCCTCATTCAATGTCATGTGGCTTTTTACTGCTGGGATGTTAATACCCCTTTATTCCAATGCAAAAAAAATGAAGTCTTTCCTTCTGTCAGAATGCATGAAAGGTTGCTTATCTTGGCTCTGTTTCCGTGCATCCCTTTAAAAAGTCATCTGCAGTCTTCAGATTTGTACAATGAGGTTCAAAACCTCTCATGTAGAATTTTAGACTGTGGGTATTATACAGTACATGTACTTCCCATGAATGCATAAATGCACAAAATGTGCACAGTGGCAATAATATACATGTTCTAAATTTTAGTTCCTAGGTACAAAAATACAAAGATCTTGCTTATTAAATGAGTCATTTAATACAAATATGGAGGCCAGTCCATTTTCTATTTTTTTTCCCCGTCTTCAAGGACTAGGATTACAGGCCTGCAGCAGACTGTATCTTGGAACCGGTGGTTATATGTTAGGCAATTTTATCCCCAACACTGTTTTAATGAAAAAAAATAGTATATGTGTTTACATAATCAGGAAATGACAGATGTTTTTCAAGGTCTGGCTTTGAAATGTACAGTATTTCACAGTAATAGGGTGCAAATGGTATTAGGAGGCATTAGAAATGACACTTTAAAGCTATTCTTAGCCTCCTACTGCTGCCACTCTACTAGATGGTCCTGAAATCTTCTCTCTTTGGTTATTCAATCTGTTACCTCTGCATGTCAATGGGCTCTTAAAGAAATGGCACAAACGCATGAGGCTTTCTCTGTGAACAAACTGTGGACAAACTTCTGAACTAATTCATCTGAGGTGATCTGTGTGTCAGCGGCCTTCTTAATGGAAAAATAATAACAGTAGTGTTTTACAGAGGAATCTAAAAGACATACTGCATGTGTACATCTGTCTTTGCATGTTACATATCATTAGTGGCACTGTCCTCTCCTTTAAGGATAAATGCTGCAAATAGATCAACATTGTTTTGCCAAGGAAAAACAAAAGTAAATGGATTGTGGTTCGAAAAACATGACTTTTATGTATTGTGTTTTATCGTGTACAAATAATTTATCAGAAAGACAATCAGTTACTGAGGAGTTTCTGATGAATCACTATGGGGGACTACTATGCATTTAAGGCTTTGCGTTAGTTGTTCATATAGATATACAGTACTATGTATCACTGTAAAAGCTCTCCCAATTTAGAAGATGGATTCTTGGAAAGGGCTATGATTTTCCTGTTACCAGGGAAACTGTATCACTCACAGCACCTAATGCTCAAATCTGTCTTCAAATTAGTGACCTCTGGCATGCTTGTAACAATTTACTGAAAATGCTCAATGTTTTTAACAATTATGTTGAGTGTGCCCAAAGAGTAATGTGCTAGTAGATTAAACCAAGCACAGCTCTGGCATAAAGCCGACTAAATGAGATTGTGTAATTTCCAACTAAATAAGAGAATATATGGTATTGCAGGACTTAATTACTTCTATTATGTTAATAAATTGGGTTATTGCACTCTTAAAAAGGAATATATTTAAAATAGTAAATTGATTAAAGTAGTGAAGTTCGTTGGTTTCTTGCTCATTCTTTGGGTAACAAAGGTAATTATTTGATATTCACAGTCCACATTACTGATATGATAATCATCAGTGTTTGAAATACAAAGGGAAAAAGATAAACCCTCATAAATGGCCATTACAGTTGTTGTAAGATCTTATGTAGATAATGAATAGCATTATGTCTATAAAAAATAAAACAAAGGAATTCATTTAATACAATTTGTTAACTGACAAATCAGTTGACTATCTCATAAATGCCTCTAAAAACATGGATGACAGCTCAGAAAAATGAAAACAAAGCTTGTTTGGTACAGCATTACAGGTTATTTAAAGCATGTTTTGTATTTACATGAGGATGCTCAATTTGCTTCAGGATATTCACACATACTAAACAGATCTTGATTCTTGTGACATGTTGTTCTTAGTCTCTTTTTATATTTCTTCCTGAAAAAGCAGAGAATAATTGTGAAGAAAATTGTTATTATAACACACACATAGAGACAGATTAAAATGGTATAACAGAACAGAAGCAACAGAAGTTAATTGTAAATATCAACAAATGACACGTAAAAATCCATAATGAAATCCCAACATTTGTGTTGAAAATGAAGTCTGTGCTTGATGAGCATTTTTGGGCTTGATTTCAACAGCAAATTTTTTATTTCTTTCACAGTTTTTTACTTTGCATTTATAGTTACATGCTAGGAGAGAGTTTAATTCAGCATTACATAGTGTTTAATACCAGAAATTCTATTTATACATTATTTAACTTGCACAAAGTTCATCCCCCAACCCTCTCCCCCTTTTAAGGCTGGGTATTTATATTGTGGCGCACTGGTTGTGATCTTTTGTGGGTATTGACAGCTGTGGGCTATGCTTACAACAGTCCATGTGATGAAAATTGCTGACAAAGGCCCCATCTCTGATGACAGAGAACAATGCATTGCTTCATCCTTCACCTAATTAATTTTCTCTGAGCGCACTAACGTGAAACATCCTACACTGTTTAGAGTGATGACATGACTTAAAAGTTGATTAAAAGTTGTTAATCCTTCAGAAGATCTATTCAATTCTCAGATACATTAGAGGCAGATATTTTGTTGTTTTTTTTTTCAGATTGATACCATAGCTGACACTCTCTTACTCAGGCTGCAATGACACAATTCAATCAACGACAAAAGTGTGTGTCTTGCAACGTGCAAAGTATCTAGCAGTACAATAAGGTTTGAAGTACAATAAAGGATGAAACACCAGTATCCATTTCCTTAGTCTGCATAAAATAGTGATTACATTTGTCTTCGACTCTGACCAGCTTTTCAGAAAATCCCAGTGCATGCTTCTTTTGTGTGTGGATTTGTCATAGTGCACACAAGACATGCACTTGAAGCAAACTGTGGGATATGTACAAGCTGAATTGTGGGGAAAATGGCAGCTTGAAGCCCTTGCTCTTGCTTAAAACACAGTCCATATGAAACATGTGAAAACCCCACAGATGAAAGGAGATGCTCTTACTTTATACCCTAATCAGTAGATCCTACTCTGAGCATGTTTACACTGAAGAAATGAGAGATGGCTGTGTTGTCACCTTTCAACAGTGGTCACACCTGCCAGCAATTACTTTTACTTTTACATGTTATTCTGCTACAGAGACAGAGAGATGTTCCTTTGAAATGCAAATGACCTGCATTAGCATGTGCACTCTTTTGCAAGCTTAGAGAGGCATTAAAACAGCTCACGCCATACACAGTAGTGTCTCTGAAACTGAGGCTGTGAAAGAGTGCAGGTGACTATTATGGCCTTTTGGGAAACACAAGGCAACAGAAAACACTCACCTATGAAAATACAAAATAGACCACTACCGCACATCCCACTACCCAGCCCACCATGAGCAGGACCGGGACGACATACCGAGAGGCGCTCAGCTGGGCTGTGAATGAGCAAAGGAAACAAATAATGTCCATCATGAAAGTTTAGTATAATAATAATAATAATAATAATAATAATAATAATAATAATAATAATAATAATAATAATAATAATGTTATTTGTATAAAATACTTTTAAAAGTGGATTCTCTAAGCTCTTTAGAGTAAGGAAAAAGAGCACACAATGAGAGAAGACAGGGCTGATATCCTTAGGGATAGAATCTGAGAGCTTTGAGGTAAAGTTGGAGAAGGCCCTTGACGATTCTAGTCTTCTCGGAGAGCATCACACTACAGTGAACATTCTTCCAAAAATAAATCTCATGTTAACATCATGAGATTCACATCGATACCACCTACTGAAAGCTATGACCAATTATGGTAACACCATTCCAACAGAACAAACAATGAGGAATAATTAATCATGCCTCACAAAGGTTATCCCCCTGCTCTCTGGGTAGAAAATGCTGTGAGACTCTTTAGCATTCACTTTGCTCTTTACATGCGGGTGTGAAATATCTCTCTGGATGCCACGTTCAGTGACACCAGATGGGGGGGTGAGGGCTCTGCAAAGGAAATTGACTATTACTGTAGGTAGAATCTTCAGAATGAGCTGAGCCACTTTGAAAAAAATAACAAAGAGATCAGCCCTACAGGAAGAAGAGAAACCCATTGTTCTGTTGAACATAATCTTCTTTCCTTGATCATGCCTAGAACCAAACACATCTCACAAGCTGAGATGAGTTTCACGGTGTCACTTGAATACATAGGGTCTCGTTTTCAGTGGCCTCTATAAAGGATATAGAATAATATAACCATAGATATTAATTCCACAGAACTACAGCCGTATCCTTACTATTGAATTAGCCTTCCATTTGCACTTTTTGTGTCATCTGTCTTTCTCATACTAGTAGGTGAACTTACACAAGTGTTCTTTATCTTGCTGTTAGTGAAAGCTGGCATGTCAGGGGTAATCTCTGATTCTGTGGTATCTTTGGAAGTGTTACATTTTTCTTTTCACACTTTCTGTGTTTAGCAAGAACTGCAGTTGTCAGAGCATATATCCAGAACTGAGTTAATTGATTACATGTTACAACCGGAGCATCCAGATAGAATATTGTAGTGGCTTAACAGACACAGTTTGTGGCTAGAAAATTTTGTTATTTAAACAGGTTCTAACTCTTATTATTTCTTGCTTCCTGACAATATAATCATCTGAGTAGGCATTAGTTACAACCGGAGCAGAAATGACAGCAACATGTAGCCTCTATATTAAAACTATAATCCTACATTTAGAAAGGAACTTGCAATTAAAGTAATGTGACATTCTTTACTTAAAAGCTTGTAAGGTGTGTTTCACCATGGTGAATATGCTGGCCTCAAAACGATGGTTTTCAAGGCCAGCAGATTACTACATGGAGTGACACAGGAGATGTTTATCTTAATACAGTTCTCCTTCCCAGACTGGAATGCAATTAGCTTTGGCTCTTGAGTACCGTTTAAGACATGGTGTCAAGAGTTTGGGTTTAATGCCTACACAGATATCATTAGTGGTAACTGTGTGAAACAATATTAATGAATGCACATTGCACCTTCATTTTACCTTAGATGTATCTTTTGTATACAATAGCTTTCAAACATTCAATGGCTGTAGGTAAACATGCATGTTAAATGAGAAAAGTTGAAAAATATCTTACCCGTGTTGCTCATAGCGTCCTGTTGGTTTTACAAGTTTTATTGGAATGGAACAACAATTGGAGGTTTGCAGCAAAGGTCGCTTTAAATAGAGGTGCAGTGGAATGCAGACAGCTGTGATTCCCAAATATGCCACCAGACCTCTGGAAGATGCCTGCATCCATTCAAATGAAGTCACATCTTCATGCACTCAGTGACTTCCAGATTGCGAGCTGATAAGCAGAATATTCATGCACCCTAGAGTTACGGTAGTACATTGCACAGCTTTAACAGATTGATGAGCTTCCAAACAGCTGTTCGCCAATGTTTGCCACAAAATGTTTTGGGGATTAAGCTTTGCTTCAGTGCAGTCCCATCCATAGGGAATGTTACATTTCAAACCTGATACCTATTCAGGGATATTTTCCATTTTTTACAATGGACTCCATCCTGTTTTTTATTTTTATTTTCTGATGCTCTGGAAAAAAAAGTTATATTCATAAACATCAGTTCTGTGCTTGTACTTTATTATTCTGGACATCAGCATGGTCATATCACTGTGTAGGAATGTGTGTGTGTGTGTGTGTGTGTGTATTTTGGCTGATTTTGTCGTTTGGCACGAGAAATAGCATCAGAAGTGCATTGAAATGCAACAAGAAAAGAAAAAGGAAAATGTTCAAAATAGGCAGGAAAACACAAAAAGCTATTTAACAAAAAACAACAACAGTAGCCACAATAAAAGTAAATACATAAAAATAACTCAAAAGACAACATATTTCTCATAATTCACCTGTGACTTGTCTTTCCAATCTGTTTTGCTTTGTTGAGCTTTTATGTGTTAATTTGTTATATGGCGATTGTACATCATATTTATCTGACCATATTATTTTTGGAAAATAAATAAAATCTAAAACATGGCATGATCACATCTGTTCCTCTAGGAAAAAAAACAACAGAGCGCCAGTATGCATCAGAAGGGATTCATTGCTGTATTTTCAGGAATTATTAAAGAATCGATAATTGCCAAGGGGTTGAATAGAAGATTTTACTGAGCTCATAATTGACATCTCATATGACTATTCTTGCTGAAACACATCAGTCAGCATTAGCAATCTAGCTTGGATGAAGAAATGCATTCTATAATTTGTCACTTACTCACTGTCAGGCCATGTTTGTTATGGGCTTTCTAATTATAAAGTTCACAGAAGTGACAAAAATAATCTCTAACTTGGACAGACAATAGATGGAAAACAGCTCACAGATAATCATCTTCCATCTGCTTACTGGCCCCACACCACAGACTGTATCCATATTCCACAAGAGTGTTTTTTTATGTGCAGCTTGAAAACAATTATAAATGCACATCTTTGAAATTACATCAATTAAAAACACAAATTAAAAAGTCACAGTGTTTGCTTGTGCACTGAAATGCACTCCACATGCATGAAAATATTCTGTATACAGTGGGTTGTACAGTATTCAGACCCTTGCACTGTTTTTACGTTTTGTTTCTTTAAAGCTTGCAGTCATGAAACTTTAAAATAAGCATTAATATTTGTTATATACTGTATACAACCTACAAATCTAAAGAAAATAAGGAAACATAAGAAAGAAAAATGGAAATTGATTGCTAAAGTTTTCAAACTTTTTGCATTTGCAAACCTAAAGTCATTATACTGCACATAATTTCCATAACGAACCACACAATTACTTGAATAGTGTGTGATAAATAATACTGTAGTAGTTCTCGTGATGTCAGAATAAAAACCTCTGTGAAGGTCCTTGGTTAGAAATTGAATTTCAAGGAAAGACTCATCCATGAAGAATAAGGAGTCTAAAATAAAGACTAAGTCAGCGATAAAGTCATTGAAAAGCACAGATCGGAACAAGGGTATGAAAAATATTCCGGTCTCTGAATATCCCAGTGAGCACAGTCTACTCAATCATCTGGAAATGGAAGGTGCCAAGGTACACTGCCAAGATAATCAGCCTGTGTGGTAAGAAGGAATTGCTTATTAAAAATAAACCATGTCAAAGCCTGCAATGGAGTTTGCAACAAAGCACCTGAGTAATCCCGCAAAAATGTGGAAAAAAGGCCTTGTGATCAGATGAGACCAAACTGGAAGTTTTTCATCTAAATCCTAACTGTTACATTTGGCGCAGACCAAACTCAACACATCTCCCACTCCTCTCCCATCCCTATAGTGAAGCATGGTGGTGTCAGCGTTACGGTGTGGGGAGTATTCTCCTCAGCAGGGACTGGGAAACGTTAGGATTTATGGACTGATGCATGGAGCAAAGCACAGGCAAATCCTAGAGGAGAACCTGTTTCAAACAGTTAAAGATGTAAAACTTGGGCAAAGATTCACTTTTCAATAGGATAATGATGCAAGGCCAAAGCTACACGGGAATTACTTTGGATTAAGGAAGTGAATGTCCTTGAGAGGACGAGTCAAAATCTGGACTATTGAGAATCTGTCTACTGAGACTTGAAAGCTGCTGCTCATTTGTGATCCCCAAGCATCTTGAGAGAATAATGAGTTCACTAGTCTGAATACAAGTCAATGTTTTCTCTTTAGTTTTTGCTGATATTTGCTGTACTATTTATCTTACACTTAAAATTTAGTAACATTTTTGGAATCATACGAAATGAGAAACTAACTGGGGGGCCAGGATCTGAAAAGTTTTGCAAGGCAGTGTACATAGTCTGCAGATGACGTATTATACCAATCTAAATACGATATGCATTAAATAAGAGGAATAAAAACTGGTACTTCTAGATAGAAGGTAAAAGAGAGGTCTTTATGGTTTTGTAAGAATGCTCCTATTGTGTATATTCAGTGGAGTAATGCCTTGATTTTTTTTCACTTTACTTCAGCTACAGATGTAAGCAGCAGTGCCCAGCAGTGACGGCTCAGTGTGAGTGGTGCAGCGTCTTAATCGATCAGAGTCTGAGACGGCAGCTGCCCCAGGGGTGAGAGGCCTCGCTCACAGCCCCAGTGTCTCCCTCCCCACCGCCCTGCCAGCTGGGCTGCAGGCAGACTCCCTCCTCCGCCCGCACTCTGAGCGGAGCCCAGGCAGCAGGCCTGGGGACACAGGCTGGAGCCTCCTGCCCTGTCAGAGGAGTGTCACAAACTCCTCATGGAAGCGCCGGAACCTCTCCGAACCTTCTGCAGTTTCTTATTTCTCCATGTTCAATTCAGATTCAAAATAGAACCAGAACATTGACTTTGTCCAATAGTATCTGAGGAGCAAACTCTGCAAAGAAGCTTTGAAACTTTCTGCAATGTCTTATTTGTTTCTTAATCGAAAGTTCCACATTCAAAATAGAGTGACTTTGTGTCATGTAGTACGAACACCATGAACACCTTTTAGTTTGTAAAGCAAATGCTAATTGCTACCATCAACAGTTGTGTTGAATGAATGAGAAAGGGCGGCACTTCACACTATGCATATGATTACCTGTAGATTTATATGTAATTGCAATATTATCATGCACAGCTTCACCATAATCAGTAATGAACTTTCCTTGTATATGCAACTAAACATTCATTCTGGTTCTTTAATTTTTGCAAGCTAATGCGTAGATATTTACAGTACACTGGTAAAAGAATGTGACGAAGTTCATTGTAACAATGTATGATATCAAAATTAATTACTATGTAAACACTCTGTAATTAGAGGGACAATGTGCAATTGTGACCCATGGCTACCCCACTGCCTGTGTAGTCTGTGATTATGTTTCAAGCATTCTAACAGAAGATCAAGCTCTGAATACCTTTCATTATTCATGTACTGTTAATGTGCCTGGTAAAAATAACACCCAATTCACATAATTCATAAATCACTAGCATATATGAGGCACAATCTGTTTTTAGAGAAAAAAAATCTCCAGATACTTGTGCTGACTGCTATATTTAAGTTTATTATTTTCTTTAATTGCTGTGTCATTAGTTCTACCAGTAGCACATGATAGTGGTTTTAATCAATAGTGAGAGCCACAGAAACATTCAAACCAGTTCTGATTACAGGTTACATTATACTGTGAGCACATCGAGTCTGGATTGCCTAAAACATTACAGTGCTTATTCAACCAAAAGACACTCATGCCACAGTTAAAATGAACACTCTGAAAAAAGAAGCTATTTGTGCATAATTGCTCCAGCACATAATAATTGGAACCTATTTCCCAGAAATGAGGATGAGAAAGGTTCAATATAATCACTGCTCTGCAGAAACAAGTAACTCTGAAAAAAAGAATAGACTCAGCAGTTCGATCTTACTCTAGCATTCCTTTCACAGGGGAGTTTAATTTCAAATTTAATTCCAGCCTTAGCAAAATTGTCTCTTTTCTTGCTGCGCTGGTAAAATGAAATCACTTTAGAAAAGATATGATTGTTTAATATTGATAAACCAGCCTTCCATATAATGTGTGACGGAATAGCAGAAAGAAGATAATAATGTTAAAAAACTTTTCCACTTGGCTCATATATAAAATAAAAGCACTTTTAATAAAAACAATCCCTGAATCTTTGCTTTGAGAATTTATATTATACTCTTTGTACCATGTAAACAACATGCTCACCTTGTTGCAATTATTCAATTTTATACAATTACACTTCTTTCCCTCATGACCTTCAAATGCCTTTGTAGGTGCAGAGTCAGTCTCATTTTGTTCTTTTCTTCAAGCATGACAAATGTTAATTTTCAACCCCTTGTGGTACTAAACCACATTTGCACAGATTTATTATATGCATTCTCTTTATGTAACCACACATACTGTATGACATTGATTCAAAGTTTTCTTTTGCATTACAACTAAAAGCACCCCTTGTGTGTTGTGATAAATATAGGGTTGGGGACAAACTTATGCAGTGTAGCTTGATTTATAATATACTGTATATTAATAATAAACAGCTCGTTGTATCACTTGATAAATGAATACCTTGAACCCTGCATCTCCAGCTGCAGACCATCTTTAATACTACTTTTAAAACATTTGTGTTTGGCAGTAAACAGTAGGAGGTCTTCGATCTTTTGAAATAACTAATAGTACATCAAATAACAAAGACAAATCACTGCCTTCCTTTGGGTTCAAGGGATGTACAATTATCGTTGCTCCTTAAGGAGCTCCTCAATTGCTTACACGTTCCTGCCTGTAAATTTTAATAGCACTGCAGATTGTTTTTCTTGCTCTAGGTTAAATAAACACTATATAAGAAAAGATTGCAGTTTTTCTTTGAAAAGAGAGCATAACCTCCTGTTCTTGTCTCTGAACCATTTCCTGCTTCTTTTTCTATCCCATTTTCAACAAAATAATGAATCTTTATTCGTTGCTGTACTTTGCTTTAATTTTTCACAGAAGGATTTATCGAGCTGAGGAATCAACTTGCAAACCTTATCAGAGCTCAGGCTTAAAACACCTTTACAAAAAAGGAGACATTACTATTGGAGGATTATTCCCCATCCATACCAGAGTATTGGCAGGTGATCAATCATTTCAATACAAACCTCAGTTCTTGCAATGTGAAGGGTAGGTGGCAGCTTTTAAGGTATGTATGTGTATTTGAAAACCTATGTTCACACTGCTCAACAGAATGTGCTGAACATATTAGAGATGACAGGAACATCTGAAAATGGTAGTACGTAAAACTTATACTACCAGGTGCGTAGAAAAGGAGGTGATTAGCATACAAGCTGAAATGTTTAAAATAGTAACGCTCTTATACTTGAAAGCATAATACAGATATATATTTATTGTCCTCAATGCTGAAAGTGAATTTAAGTCAAATGAGGAAATAAGGAAACATTTGTCATTTTTCTGCAATTAGCTTTGATTTCAGAACATTCCGCTGGGTGCAGGCAATGAGGTTTGCGATGGAGGAAATTAACAACAACACCGAGCTTCTCCCGAACGTGACGCTGGGTTACGCCATCGCTGACACCTGCCTGACACAGCGGACTGCTCTCAGGGAGGCCCTGGCTCTGGTGACAGGAGAGAGGGAGACGGTGTCTGGCTCCAGCTGTGGACGAGCTCCAGATGTGCCCGTCATTATTGGGGATGCCAGCTCCTCTGGATCCGTGGTTATTGCCAGAACCCTGGGAGTCTTCAGAATTCCTATGGTGAGGGGGTTTGCCAGCAGTTACCTGTGCAGTGGGAATGCAATATAGGATTAGGAGGATAGTGTCTCAGCAGTTGGTGAGAAATCCAGGGAAGGAGGTAGGAATTCTTCAAGGAAGTCATCTTTTGTAGAGTTTGTAAGAGTAAGGCCCTTCTTTTGCTATTCTTATCACACAGCAAACTTTACAAATATCCATATTTATTACTTTTATTCATAAGGTTGTGACTCTTAAAGAATGCTATGAAAATCATTTAGTTATCTGCTTATACTGTACCTTTGATTACATGTTCTAAAATTACTGTTCTTCTTCCGAGAAGAAATTTCAATGTGAACCTGGAAAAATCTTCTCTTTTACAGGTCAGCTACTTTGCTTCGTGCGCATGCCTCAGTGACAAAAACAAATTCCCATCTTTTTTCCGAACAGTTCCAAGTGATTATTTCCAGGCCAGGGCGATGGCCAAATTACTGAAACGTTTTGGCTGGACCTGGGTGGGAGTCATAGCTGGAGACGATGATTATGGGAAATTTGGAATACAGATATTCCGAGAAGAAATTAAGAATTTTGATGTTTGCATTGCATTTTCCGAAATCATTCCCAAGGTCTATTCAGAGGAAAAGATTTTCGAAATTATCAAAGCAGTAAAGCTCTCCACAGCGAAAGTTATTGTCACTTTTGCTATTCAGTCAGATATTATTTTTGTTCTAGAGCAAATTGTGAATCAAAATATCACTGATAAGCAGTGGATAGCCACAGAAGCTTGGATTACATCTTCACTGGTTTCAACCCCAAGGAATTTACACTCCTTGGAAGGGACTCTAGGTTTTGCACTGCGCAGGGCAGAGATTAAAGGACTCAAGTCTTTCCTGGAAAGAATTCACCCTGCTTCAGATCCTACTGATCCATTCATTGCCGAATTCTGGGAAACAATGTTCAAATGTTCTTTGGGTCTCCTGACCTCACCCACTCTTAAACCCAATTGCTCAGGCTTAGAAAAATTAGAAAGTGTCAAAAGTATTTATAATGATGTCTCACAATTAAGAGCAACATACAATGTGTACAAAGCTGTGTACTCAATAGCTCTGGCTCTTCAAGACATGCTGCTCTGTGGCCCTGGAAAAGGTCCTTTTGAGAACGGAACATGCCCAGACATCACTGACCTCCAGCCATGGCAGGTATGAATCAGGTGTGCAGAGCGGACATTTCATTTTATCTTTCAAAATAATGTATTTGTATTTAATAAGCTCCAATTAATTTGTTTTAAAGCTTGTACACTATCTCAAAGAAGTACATGGTAGCACACCTGTAGGAGAGAAGATATATTTTGATGAAAATGGGGATCCAGCAGCATCGTATGATATCATCAACTGGCAGAAGGAGGCAGACGGGTCGGTAAAGTTTGTGAAAGTTGGTCAGTTTGACGCATCGGAGGGATCTGAGAATGAGTTTAACATTGAGGAAGACAGCGTGGTTTGGACTGGAGGCCAGCGTGAGGTGAGGCTGGGCAGGTGTTGATATAAAAAAAAAATGCACTAATATTTCAAACAATACAGCAGGTAAATAAGACTTCAACATGAAAAGATTAATAATGAGATGTTTTTTGTATAATTATCAGTACATTTATACTGAAATTCTTCACTCATGTAGGTTTTGATATGCCCATGTAGGTACTGTATTTGAAAAAAGTACCTACTTAAGGCTCATATCCATAAAAATACCATTTGCAAAATTTGCAAATTGCAAAAAAATGCTAATAATTGCTAAAAATTGAAATAAAAAACTTTGAACTGTATATTGTGCAGGTAAGTGCCAATGTATGGAATACTAGAACAGCATCACTGGATAAACACAAATGGACTCACAGATTGTTACATGAACAGGAGAAGACTTCAAAACAGGCTTTGGTAACACATACATAGGACAGCAAATGTCAAAATAATGAAGAATTTAAATATTAATTTCCTGCTCCACAAAGTGTCAAGTGTTGATCTTATTCTTTAAAGCTGGATTTTAATCTTTTCCAATGTAAAATCTAATTCACACTTATTCTGTAGCGAAACAATAAACCATTTCCTTCTGTTGTCGGGCCCCTAGAGCACACAGGCACCCCTGTCTCAGTTTCACTGAGACTTTGATTTCTCCTGACAGGTTCCTCAGTCAGTGTGCTCTGAAACCTGCCTCCCAGGAACGTGGAAAGCTGCTCAGAAAGGAAGGCCAGCCTGCTGTTTCGACTGCCGGCCTTGTGCTGATGGAGAGATCAGCAATATTACAGGTCCACTGTCTACTTGATTTCCACACAACCTGGCTTCTGCTGTGATTACAGATTGCTGGGATCACCACACAGTCCTGTGAGGAACCGTGTCGTTCTGGGGTTCCTTGCAGCACTAGTATTTGAAGGTAAAAATACCAATAAAAGGAAATTCAGTTGTTAAAATAATCCTAAGAATATTTATTTCCACTTTCAGGTTCTGTAGAATGCAAAAAGTGTCCACCCACATATTGGTCTAATGCCCAGAAAACAGCTTGTGTGCCAAAAGAGACTGAATACCTGTCTTACCAAGAGACCATGGGGATTATCTTGGCAGCTATTTCAATCGGCGGAGCCGCCATCACTGCCTGTGTGATTTGCACCTTCTTTCACTTCAGGGAAACTCCGATCGTCAAAGCCAATAACTCTGAGTTAAGCTTCCTGCTCCTGGTGTCCCTGGTGCTTTGCTTCCTGTGCTCCCTGGCTTTCATTGGCCAGCCTCTGCCATGGTCCTGCAAGCTGCGCCACACAGCGTTCGGGGTGAGTTTTGTCCTCTGCATCTCCTGCGTCTTGAGCAAGACGGTTGTTGTGCTGGTGGCTTTTCGCTCCACGCTTCCTGGCAGCAACATCATGAGACACTTTGGTCCTGTGCAGCAAAGAGCCGGCATTCTGTTCTGCACCCTGGTGCAGGTTTTAATCTGTGTGCTCTGGCTGACACTGTCGCCACCCTATCCATCAAGGCTCTTGGAGCAGAGCGCAAAAATTATTCTGGAGTGCAACGTGGGCTCTGTGCTGGGATTTGCCTGTGTTCTGGGCTAAATCGGCTGCCTGGCCTGCGTCTGCTTTGTCCTCGCATTTTTAGCCAGGAAACTCCCAGACAACTTCAATGAAGCCAAGCTCATCACGTTCAGCATGCTCATCTTCTGTGCGGTTTGGGTCACTTTTGTACCAGCTTACATCAGTTCTCCAGGAAAGTACACAGTCGCTGTTGAGATTTTCGCTATTCTGTCATCCAGCTATGGTCTTCTAGTGTGCATTTTTGTCCCTAAGTGCTACATCCTCCTGCTGAAGCCTGAGAGGAACACTAAAAAGCAGCTGATGGGCAAGGTGCCAGCAATACACTAAAGAAAATAGTAATAAATAATAAGAAGACATTCTTACTTGACTTGGTGGGCAGTGCTGTGGCCGCACAACTGGATTTGATTGTGGACTGGGGAGCTGTCTGTATCCATAAGGATTTTTTCCCATTTTTCCGCCAATCTAGGAACATGCTGGCCAAGTTAAATACTGTCACTAAATTGTTGGTGTGCATAGCCTCATTCAACTTGATTGTTTTCCATTCCCTTTTGCAGTTACGTTTTGTCTCCATGTTAAAGCTTAGAAATCAGAAAAATAGCCTCCAGCTGTGTCTTAGGGTGACATCCTGAGATGATGAGGATGGCCGTCTAACTGCTGCTTAGTTTCCTAGACCCAGAGTGGTGCCACATTGGGGTGAACACTCAATCCCACAGAGTGCTGCCAAATCTAACGTCGTATTCCCTTCAATGTAGTGCTGGCAAAAACATGAACTCAAATGGTTTATAAAAGAATGCTTTTGTAATGCTCTTAAGAGTAGTGTATAATTGTAATTGTTTCTGATTATATTATGTAAATTAAAGAAAGACAAAAAGACTTTCCACACCATGTGTCTTTTTTTTTTACCTCTCACCTCTCCATTTTCCCCCACTGCTCTTGCAAGGCAGCTCCTCAGTCGGCCTGCGCCTGCAGCTCCCAACGCATTGAAGAGAAAGAAAATTCATGGGGCTCTGTGAGTGGCAGAGCACACTCAGGCAATCAAAGGTACTGTGGCAGAAATAAGCAAGAGACCCAGACAAAGAAGTAGTGAGTATAGGTGGAATATATTGAAGATTATGGTCATGATTACATATGAAATGCATAAAAGCAGAAGCCTGTACACAGGAGAGGTCATTAGCACCACCCAGTCCTTTTGTGACAAGATTGCCATCAGCCAGTTATTAGACTGTGTTATATTCTTTATATCTGTTCAGGATAACTTAACTATTCCTTCAGAATAATTCTTTGTTTTTCAAGAAATTATGGTCATACAGGAATCAGACATACGACTTCAAGATTATTAGCAAGACAATTTTTTTTTTAATTGACCTCACCAGCCAGGTGTATTACATGAGTTAAAATGAAGATCAGTAAATAAATACAAACTGTTGTTACACACATTGCTCTTACATATTATTATTATTATATTATGAATTCTATTGTGTATAGTTTTGTTGCTGTTTACCACTGTTATGTCTTTTTTTAATTTACCAAATACCTTCTTCAAAATTAGCCAGAAACAGTTGAAAAGTGTCTTTACTACAAACACAGTGATTATTGTCATGCACCTCCGTGTGAAATCATTCCCCCAGAATTCTCTCGGGCCTCCTCTGTAACAGTCTTTCAACATGCACCATGTTTCAAAATGTAGTAAAAGTATTCTTCTGTCTACTCAGTGTGGGAAATGTTCTTATCTCTGGTAAGGCAAAGATAGTCTGCATTTCATGGACTGACTTTTCTGGCTCCAAACCTGTTTTCAAAGCAACAATATCAAATTTACTATAATGGATCATTTATGCTTATCAGATATTCCCTCTTTTTTATTGAAGCAAACAAAAGACGTGGAAGTCATCAGAACCCATTTACATCATGTGACTTTCCCTTGAGCATTCATTTGCTTTATAACCCTGTGGGCTGCAACTGCAGCTCACTGACTCCTCCTGAGTGGTCCCATTGTGTAAGGCACACAGGGCCCTGCCAATGGAACGGCCAGTCTCACCAGTCTCCTGTTTTAAAGCAGGCACAGTCTGCAGTACAGTATATTCCTTTAAAATATTGAGTGTGATAAGTGTGCAGTGCTAGTCTGAGAGTAAAGAGTCCCAGAAATCCTTCCTTTAGCAGAAGACCATTTAGATCACATTAGATCATGGCTATGTATTTTTTTCCAAAGATATTTTGTTAAAGAACAGTTTTAAAGCATACTAATGTTCTTGATCGTACAGTAATTCACTACACGTACTGTCCATCCCTTTTCTAATAATTTGATCTCACACAGGGTCACGGAGGAGCCACAGCCTATCCCGGCAAGCAAGAGGCACAAGACAAAATAAACCCTGGATGGGACGCCAGTCCATCACAGGACACCCACGCAGACACACACACGCTCACACTAGCATGCTTAGCATTTAATCTAATTATGAATTTAAATAGAGTCAGCAGCCGTATCACCCTGCAGCTCCCAACTGGCTCCCCACTGAAGCTCAGCACGGTTGAGCCTGGTCAGTACCTGGATGGGAGGCCTCCTGGGAAGCTATGGTTGCTGCTGGAAGTGGTGTTAGTGGGACCAGTGGGAGGCGCCCAACCTGCGGTCTTTGTGGGTCCTGATGCCCCGGTATAATGGCAGGGACACTGTACTGTGGTGGGCGCCGTCTTTCGGATGAGACATTAAACCGAGGTCCTGACTCTCAGTGGTCATTAAAGATCCCCGGACATTTCTCGATAAGAGTGGGGAGTTATCCTGGTGTCTGGGCCAAATCTCCCACTGTGCCTTTACCGTAGCCTCTAAATTGTCCCCATGCATGACTGGCTTGCACTGGCCCTGCGATGGACTGGCGTCCTGTCCAGGGTGTACCCTGCCTTGCTCTCGTTTCTTGCCAGGTAGGCTCCGACTTCCTGCGACACCATGTGGTATAAAGCAGTTTGGCAAATGACGTGACATGACTTTAAATTTAATTCAATTCTTACACTCATTTACAAAACACATGGCAGTTGATAAACTTTACAACAATGGAAATAAATATGTTTCTAATAAATGATAGCTAATTCCATCAGATTAAATGTGTATTAAATAATGACTTTTTAAAGATTGCATGAAATAGCACCTTTTTAAGTGAATTGATGCAAAATATTGGATTGCTCCCAAATACAAAAAGTAAACAAATACAAAGGGAAGAAAACCAGACTCTTATGTTTATTTTGATTATGAAAGAATTGAAAGACAAAAGAAAACATAAAAGAAATATGCAGGGGCATTAATTAAAACGCTTTACAAATTTGTAAGAGGGGCACAACGAGTGATTTAAAACCACAGAGAAAAAGAGAAAATATACAAAGATGTCAATCAGTCCAACCTTCCTTTGTTGTACATGTCTCAAAGTGCTTTACACATTTGCGTTTTCTATTTGTAGAATAAAATAAAAAATAACACATACATGACTGCACTATTTCACAGATCATGTTTGAGACCTGAGGAATTTTTTGGAATTCCTCTCTGGCAGGAATATAATAATGTAGCATTTTGGAATAAAGATGCAGAAAAGCACCCCAAAGCTTGAGGACAAAATTGCAAATATTTCCACAGCTACTGTGTACTTCCCAGGAGAGCTCACATAGGCCGGGATAAAGCTGATCCAGACTGCACAGAATATCAGCATGCTGAACGTGATCAGCTTTGCTTCATTGAAGTTACCAGGC